CTCTGTGAGGAACTGTCTTTTTTATCAATTAGAGGTACTGATTCATGATTCAGTTTAATGAAGCATTGCTATCTCACAGTTCTCATCTAAAGATAGTTTTTTGCTCTTTTCTCCTACTAGTTTTGTTAGTCCCGCTAATGAAAAAACCTTACTATCTGAAGACATGAGAAAAGAACTTCAGCGCCAGCAATGGGAGGAAGAAGAACGGGAGGCCCTGAAAAGGCCAATGGGGCCTATACATTATGAAGACATTCGTGAAAATGGTATAATCTCTTGCAGCTTTTAAATCATGCTTTTATCTTGAACTAATGACAAACATAAAGGGAAGTATTCATTCATAAAGCAGCAGTTCCTATGTAGAAATAAAAGATTCTGCTTCGGAAATTGATACTATCCCCTTTGTTTACTTTATAGCCTAAAAAATACTCATATTGGAAATATCTTAGCAGAGAGTCTATTAATCTAAGGGTTTGTTCCTCAAGAGAAGTGGAGACAGTCTAATGAATTTTTGTCATGTTTATCACTTGGCAAACAGGATGAGAACTATTTCTAACTTGCTTTTTTGTTTATCTGCTTTTTCTTTTTAAAAACTTGTGTCAAATATCACTGTATTTCTTTTTGCCAAATTTCTTGTAGGATATAATTTACTGATCAGGAAATCTATAATCTCTCGTGTAATTTTGACTTATTTCAGAGGCCCGGCAACTTGGTGTTGGATATTTTGCCTTTGCCCGAGATAAAGAGCTAAGAAACAAGCAAATGAAAACTTTAGAGATGCTGCGTGAACAGGTATAAATTAAATTGAGAGTTGATGTAAAGAAAGATTTAAGCAGTTGATTTCTTACTGGACAATACTGAGAGAGAAAAAATCTAGTAAATTAATTAGGGATTTAAATTGATATTTAGAATATAATCTTGGTGTTTCAAGGTTTAAGATTATGGCTGCCCAGAAGTAACTTGTGTAATTTTAAATTTGGTTTTTAATATATTTTTGGGGTGGTCTGGGTAAGAAAATAGAAAGTTGCTTGAGGGATTAAGGAGTAGAACAGAATTGGTTGGTTTTCTTGAATCGTAAACCTTTTAGAATGCTCTGTGAATGCTTTCTAAACTTCAAAAACATCAGAGTCCTGTGTAAGAGAATACTTTACGAGTCTTCATTTTGATGATCTCAAGGATAGCTTCTTAGAGGTGGCATGAAAATCATTTAGTCTATTTTTAGAATAAAATTATTTCATCCTTTAAAAAGAAGTATTATGAATTTGGCTTAAAGCAAATAATTTTATAATTTTCTGTTCTCTTCAGACAACAGACCAAAGAACAAAACGAGAAAATATAAAAGAAAAGCGAAAGGCTATGTTAGAAGCAAGACTTGCTAAGCTTCGACAAAAAAAGATGAAAATATCGAAAGATGATGGAGCAGAGGAAGAAAGTAAAGGTATGTCATGGCTCATGTCAGTAAACTTCAAAAGGAAAAATTTTAGTTCCATTGATGTCTCAGTAATAAGGCTGAGAAATTAGCCATTAAGAAAGCACTTCTAAGGTACTGACAGGAGCAATTTTTATAACCAGTGTGATGCGAATGACACTCTAGGGAGTAATTTAGGTTATAAATAAGGACATTAACAGTACATTGAATCACTTCATAGAACAGAACAGTTTAGTAACTCACACTTAGTTTAGTTGTGTACATGTTTAACTTAATTTGTTTTGCTGTGGCTACAATTTTTGTTGATTATATAGTAACTTATTTTAAATAATAAATACACAAAGTCAAAGAATTAAATAATACACAAATATGACTATGGTCAGCTTATGAAAAGATTGTTAAAACACTTGGAAACACTGTTAACTAGTGTTTTCAAACCAGTTCACTCTATGAATTATGTTGGTCTGAGCCAAATTGTCATGACAAAGAGACCCACATAGACTGCCTCAAACTAGAGGAAATCCTGCTTCTCCTTTTAGCATTTCAGAGGTAGTGGGTGTCCCAGTGGATAGGTCTGCCTCAGGTGGCCATCCAGTCTTTACCTTCATTCTGTCTTGCCATTTCTGTCATTTCCTAAAGGGTTGCTCTAACCTGAACAGTTGAAACTTGCTCCCCAGAACCTGTTCATGATTCGGCCTTGGGGAAGGAGGAAAGAAGAAAGGGAACGAGCTTCCTTTTGGGGAATGTGAGTCAGAAGTCAGGCAGAGCCTATGTGTTTACATTCCAATGGCCAGAACACAGGGAGGCCAGTGCCATAAGGCAGGGAGGCTGGGGATCAGCCTCTCTGGCGAGGTGCCTTGTATCCAGCTGAACCAGGGCATTCTGGTCCCAAAAGGAGAGGGGAGTGTGGATGCTAGAGGTATATAGAAGCCTCCAGCCTTTACAGTAGCTTGTGCTAAGCTATGGACTGCTTTCTAATTCTGAACAGAAATTCAATTTTTGGTTGTTTCTTTTTTTAATTTTTTTATTCAATTTGGTTTTGAAAGGAAACCAGAAACATTTGTAATTGGAAAATCATCCATTTGGTTTCATATAACTGTTGTCTCCCCTGTAACATGTTAAGTTCTGTATGTTATTTTTGCTCTACTCCTGAACATCTATCATTGCCACAAGTTGTGAAGTGTCACCAAAGTGTTTTAAAAACTCCATTTTCATTTAAAATGTGGCCAAAATTGAATAGCCTACAGCCCATCGCTAGGCTCCAGCTCTTCATCGCCCCAAGCCACCTTGCTTTGTTTGAGATTTACCTTAGTTGAGTAACAGAGATTTCTGGTCTTTTGATTGTTGGTCTGGGGATATAGATACTTTGAAATCCATCCAGCTTGGGTTTAAATCCTGATTCTTGTCACTTCTAACTTATGTAGTATTTCGGAGCTTAATTTTTCTCATCTACAAAATGGGGATAAAATGGGAATACCAATACTGGCTTTATTAGGGTTGTTACAGAATTAAGTGAACTGTCATATACAAAGTACTTAGCCCACTGCCTGGGACATGGTAGGTGCTTAGTAAATACTGGTTATTACTTCTACTCCCAGGATTAGTATATTCTATTTTTTGAAAATTAAGTAGCTTTAAGCTTTATTATAATAAAGTCTTATTTCCTTGCAAAAAACAGATGGAAATGTTATTGGGCCTTTGCCACCAGAACCAGAGGCCATGCCAACTCCACCTATAGCTGCCCAGCGTAGCAAAGTGGAAGTCATCGTTCAAGAGAGGAAGGACACCAGGCCCGGAGTGCCACACGTCCGGGAGTGGGACAGAGGAAAAGGTAAGAGGTGGCTCCAAGGTGTAAAAACCTCTCCAGTAATGGGCCCTGCACAGGAAAGTTTTCTGGTTCTCCTGATCCAAATGTGAGTCTGATGAATCTTAGTGGTCCTGTGAGTCTTAAAGAATTCTTCAGATCCTTGAACTTGGTTCTTCTTGATACCCAGACAGAGCTGTTTATAAACAGGAGCTCCAGCCCTAACTGGTTTGGCTCAGTGGATAGAGCGTTGGCCTGTGGACTCAAGGGTCCCAGGTTCGATTCCGGTCAAGGGCATATACCTTGGTTGCGGGCACATACCCAATAGGGAGTGTGCAGGAGGCAGCTGATCGATGTTTCTCTCTCATTGAGGTTTCTAACTCTCCCTCTCCCTTTCTCTCTGTCAAAAATCAGTAAAATATATTTTAAAAAAAACAACCACCAAAAAACAAATAAAATAAACAGGAGCTCTAGAAAGGGTGATTATAAAAGATCAGGATACATAAGGCATCTTGTCGAAGGATGAGAGTTTTGTTTTTTTGAAGTGCTTGGAGGAAGTTTTCTGAAGTTAGTGCTGCCTCATTGCAGCTTTGGAATGTCATTTCTTAGGAACTGCTTTCAAAATTTATGAAGATTTGATATTTTAATATATTGTGTTTTTAGTACATTTCAGTTGGAAATAGAGATGAAAGACCAAATATGGACAAGTTCCTTCTTGTCTAAAACTCAGAGGACAACACTTGTGTTTGTTGTGAAGTACCTGCAACATAATGATTGAGTTTCTTAAACATAATCAAGCAAATGATTGAGTGTTTAGTTTTTCTGTATTTCTCTTAAATTTAATTTTAGTGCCTTTTTGGCAATGTTTCCAGAGTCTGCAGACTTCACATAGCCTTTCTTGAACCTTTGGCCTTTAGGAAGTAGTCACTCCCTTAGCTTGGTTCCTTGCTTTCCAGAGAATTTGAGGTGGCTTTTAAGAAATACATATAATAATTGAAAAGTAATAACAGTAAATTCATCTCATTCAATAATCAGTTCTAATAACATTTTTTCTTATTTTTACTAGAATTTTCCTTTGGGTACTGGTCGAAGAGGCAGTCAGATCTCCGGGCGGAAAGAGATCCTGAGTTTGCCCCACCGTCGGATTACTTTGTGGGTCAAAAGAGAACTGGTGCTTTCAGTAGCCAGACATGGAGCAGACCTGCACCTGCCCAGAGTGACGCAGGGCAGCACCCTGGCCAAAGCCATGACCCCAGCTGTTCACATACGTCACCTACTCCTGCTCCTAGCAGCCCACCACAAGCCCCCAAGGTCACTTTTGAAACTCTGGATGATATGATATCTTATTATAAACAAGTGACATGAACTTAATAAGCATCCTGACTTGCGTCCATGCTGTTGGTGGTGTCTTTTTCTCCCAGAGCAGAGAAACTAACTTGATTTTAGGAACTGAAATGTAACTTTGTTTTCCTGCCCTTTCCCTAGAAGATAGAGGTTGGATTTGTCAGCAAGGAAGAAGGTGAATGGTCCTTGGGAAATCTGTGGCCACGTGACCATTCATTTCTTTCTAATATATATGGCGAGATATTCATGTGGCTTAAGTGTGATGGAATAGAAATATTCTTCAATAGTTGGCACCAAGGAGTTTGTAATCCTGTCTTTCATACCTGCTCCCATGACTTACTCAGATTGAAGGGCTCCATTCCTTCTGCAGAGGTTAGCATGTAGATGTCTTTTTTTCAAAGATGGAGCTTTCAGATCAGTTGAAGGAGCATCTATCAGGAGAAACTATCGCCTGTCAGAGTGGCAAATGAAGAGACACTGTGTGAGTGACAGTGGTCTGGTTTCCAAGAGGACATGTCAGGGTCATCTTTTTAGCAGCAGACAGGCAGTTGGAGGTGGCCCACAAGACTCCTACAGCCATCTCAAGCCAGTGTAAGAATGTGCTACAACAGTTCCTCCAAGCACCCTCAGGAGCCCACCCTCCTCCGGGCTCTATTTTTGTTCCCACCGGTGTTGACATAAGTGCCCCCGTTCTCATTACAGATTGCAAATTGGAGCATTAAGAAGGTCAATGACTTGTAGAAGGTCATATGGCCTCTAAATGGCAAATCTAGGACTTGAACACAGTTTAAACTCAGGTTTGCTGCAGACTCATACTTTCTCCAATACCTTCTTCTTTCAGTCTTGTTGCTCCAGTATCAAACAATATTAGACAAAATTCCCAAACTCCTGAGAACCTCTAGACTCCATATTGGGCAGAGTTGCAGACTTATTAATGGTTATTCTGTCAGCCTAAATGGGGAAATACCTCTTGTCAAATACTAGAGACCTGGTGCACAAAGTTCATGCTTTGGGATGGGGGTGGTTTCCTCAGCCCAGCCTGCACCCTCTTGCAGTCTGGGAATCTCTCAGGGGATGTCCACCTGTCGGCTTAGGCCCATTCCCCCCAGGGTTCGGGCCTAAGCCAGCAGTCAGACATCCCTCTCTCAGTCAGAAGCCTTGCAGTCCGGGACCCCTTGCTCCTTATCGCCTGCCTGCAGCAGAGGCAGGAGAGGCTCCCGCCACCACTGCTACACTCGCCAGCTGTGAGCCCAACTGCCCCCTGGTGGTCAGTGCTCATCATAGTGACCAGTTCTGGTCGTTCCGCCATAAGGGTCGCTTAGGCTTTTACAATATTATATAGATACATTAAAACCAACTAACCTGGCTGCCTTTTTTATAGAAATTGACAAACTGATCCTAAAATTTATATGGAATTGCAAGGAACATAGGCTATCCAAAACAATCTTGAAAAAACAAAATTGGAGCATTCACACTTTCTAATTTTAAGACTTGCTACAAAGCTATAGAAATCAAAAGAATGTGGTACTGACATAAGGATAAACACATAGATTAATGGAATAGAATTGAGAGTTCAAAAATAAATCCATTTACTTATGATCAACTGATTTTTGACACTGGTGCCAAAACTGTCCAATGAGGAAAGAATAGCTTTTTCAACAGGATTCTGGGACAACTACCCACATGCAAAATAATGAATTTGGATCCGTGTCTCATGCCATATATAAGACCAACTCAAATTGGGTCAAAGACCTAAATATAAGAGAAAACTACAAAACCACTGGAACAGCTTGTAGAACAAAAGAGACAAAAAGAAAAACTGGAATATTAAAAAAAAAAAAAAAAAAAAAAAAAAAAAGCTTGGGGATTGAGCCCGCAACCCACATGTGCCCTGACGGAGTAATTGAACCGTGACCTCTTGGTTCATAGGTCAACACTCAACCACTGAGCCATGCTGGCCAGGTTCAAATAACCTTTTGTTTCTTAGAGCAACTTGGGTGGACATAGCAAACATTCCGTGGTCTCGCTCATGATCACTGTCAACTAATAACTAAGTGAGATTTTCTCTAGGATTTCAAGAACTTTTAACCTATTTTCAATGCCTTTTTATTTTTCCCATTACCATTTATCCCCTCTATGCCCTCTTTTTTTTTTTTTTTAATATATTTTATTGATTTTGTACAGGGAGGATGGGAGAGAGATAAAGAGTTAGAAACATCCATGAGAGAGAGTCATCGATTAGCTGCCTCTTGCACACCCCCTACTGGGGATATGCCCACAACCAAGGTACATGCCCTTGACCGGAATCGAACCCGGGACCTTTCAGTCCCCAAACCGATGCTCTATCCATTGAGCCAAACCAGTTTCGGCCTCTCTATGCCCTCTTTAACAGTAGATCATTTAGTGTTTTATGAACCCAGCTGTTACATAGTCTTCCATTGCAGACCCGGAGTTCAAATGTTAACAGAATTTGTTTTACAGTTTCTCATGGGCCTGTTTTATATGAGTGCATCCAGCAGATGGCATTAGAATTCTTAGACTTCAGATCCACACTTTGCCCTATAGAAATACCATGTAAGTCTTCTGTGTCATTTCCAATTTTCTAGGAGTCACATTTAAAAAATGAAATTAATATTGTTATATATTTTTACTTCAGCATTTAGTCAATGTACACAAATATTAATGAGACATTCTACATTTCTTTTCATACAAGTTTTCAGAATCCACTGTATATCTACTGTAAAAATTTTCATCAGGAATACTTGACCTATATTTAGATTTCATAAAATATACCATTGAAAGGGTAGATTCACATACCGTAAATTGTTCCAAACATGTTTAACCATGTTTAAAAATTTCCAATAACTGAGGCAAGTGTGAAGTTTTAAATTAAGTGAAAATTTCATTTCTTAGTCATTCTAACTACATTTCAGGTGCTCAAAAAGACGTGGTATAGTGCTACTATACTGCACACATAACTAAATGATCTATTTTTATATAATCTAGGGTCTGACCACACATGATCCTCCCATTAGTAACTAAAGGATTAACAAACAATTTCTTCCAGATGTACATGAAGGATTTAATATGTTTTTATGGCTGTGTTTATCTTGGGAGCAAGTAGTGGTAAAATCTCTTCTCAGAAAACATGACCACACCTTGTTCGTGTCTTTGTAGAGCTAAGTGAAATGTTTTGAATTATTTGTTTTCTCTTTAATCTTTTCTTTAGGCCTTTGTGTGTGTTGATACAGTTCGTTTGAATTGGCTAAATAAATCATTTTGTTTGCTTGCAAAATTCTCAAAGGAGAAACTTTAAATCCATATACATGAGATTCCTGCTATGTGTATCCATACATTTGCCCAAACCTTGTGTATAATTTATTTCTTCTTAAAGCCATAGTGCAGCCCATCGGGTGGTTTTCAGCTAACCTTGTGACATACATATGAGGCAATAGAACTTAGAATTTGGAACAGGGTAAGTACTGTTTTTTGCAGTTAATACAACATAGAGTAGCCACTCCATATAAGTTTAGTGGGTTTTTTTTCAGCCAGTAAATTGAATTGTTAGTTATACATCAGGAAGTTCTTGTAAAAAAAACAAAACAAAACAAAAAAATAAAAAAATAAACGGCTAAGATAAGGGATGATCATTGAAAAAAATTTATTGACCTGCTGAAAACTGAGCAAAAATGGAATTCCTCTGGCCTTCCCACCTACCTTCGCCAGCTATCTTGGTGAGGCATTTTGTTAGTATAGGTGTGTACATTTAGCTTAATGTTTGATGTATGTGTGTGAGGAATAGGGCAGGGGTTGGGGAAGGGAGAGAAGGATGTGATAGGTGTAGATCTAGAAAAACTGAAAAATCAAAGTAATCAAATGAAGTAAGCTGTTTTTTAATGAAAATCTGTCACCCAGGTCTGGAGTTGATCTTTTGTTTCTATATTTCTTAATCAGTCTTGGGCTGCATTTACTGTATATATTCACTAGAGGCCCGGTACATGAATTCATGCATGGATGAGGTCCCTTGGGGTGGCCTGTGTAGATTTGGCCTCAGCTCACGCCCCCAGCCTCAGCCCCACTTGGGCTTGGCACTGCCCCCTCACCTGCTCCACTGCTAGTCATTGTCTGCAGAGTGATCAGCGGCAATCGGGCCCCCCGCTTGCACCCACCTTACCCTACCTTGGCCTGCTCACCTGCTCCACCATCCTGTCAGAGTCCCACTCATCAGGGCCTGCAGCACCTCCACTGCCACCTTTAATACGTGGCTTCATAATAATCTCATGGCTTGAAATGGCTGCTGGAGCTACTGTCATTTCATCCATTCCAGAAGAATAAGAATAGCAGTAGGTAAAGAAAACACAAAAATTTGTACATGAATATTCATAGAAGCACTAATCATAGCTAAAAAGTAGAAACAACCAAAATATCCATCAAACAATGCCTAGATCTGTTGATTGTGGTTTACCATGTAATGGGATATTATTCTATAATACTAAAAATGAAGTACTGATACCTACTATAACATAAACTTCAAAAACATGATGCTCAGTGAAAGAAGCCAGTCACAAAAGGCCATATATTATGTGATTTCATCTATATGAAATGTCCAGAACAGGCAATTCTATAGAAACAGAAACTAGATTAGTGGTTGCCTGGGGATAAGGGGAATAGAATGTAACTGATAATGGGTTTCTTTATGGGGTGATGAAAATTTTCTAAAATTAGGTAGTGGTGTTGGTTGCACAACTTTGAATATACTAAAAACCATTGTATACTTTTTAAAAGACTGAATTGTATGGTATGTGAATTATATCACAATAAAGCTATTGTAAAAATCAGCTTTTATCTGTAAGACATATCTTCAAAATTAACCTCAAAGGAAAGGAACTGGTAGGGGGTAGAGAGAAGTTCCTCAAACCAGTTAACATTTCAAGGATTTTATTTGTCTTCTCTTCATCTGAGTCCTGGCTTTAAAAAAAAAAAAAGAAAAATCAGCCCCTGTATGGTCAGGGTCAGATCCTCTGGCTGGCTGCCCTGATGACAGATTCTGAGTGGTTTCTTTGTTCTGTAGACTTATCATTTAAAAAAATGAACCTATTTTTCTGAGTTTTCAGAGCTGAGGAATAGATGCCAGAGGTCAGCAAATAGACATAGGAAGCCACTTTTATCTGCAAGTTAGCCGGATGTCAGAAGGGTTTGCTCTATGGGATTCTTGTTCTTTGGAGACTTATTGCTGATAGATGGGCAGAGGCAACTCAAAGGGCATGAGGAAGTAGTGTTGCATTTAGAACGTATGTCCTAAGGGCTCTGGTTCCTCATCAGTAAAACCAGAGAGAGAACAGCCTTCTCACCCCAGGGTGGTTACACCAGATTATGGTGTGAACCTGCTCTATAAATGCTGATGGTGTGCACCAGTCATGGTCCTGGAATGGTGAACTTGGGGTAGCTCTTTCACTTGGTTTGAAAAGCGAAAGATTGGAGAATGGTGGTGGGAGAAGATATGGATATAGTGGAGAGTAATTGTCAGGCTGAGGTGGTAGAATTGATTTTTGGAGGGCTGTGGTAATAATTATCAGAAGACACCTGCCAGAGATCCTTCTGCTCTAAGGCCACCATTACTAGCAAGTATGCTCATTAGTCATTTAAGTCAGACAACAGAGGCGGCTCACTGACATTGTCAGCAAAGGTGATGGGGCAGGGGGCTTCTGCTCTCAGCTTCCCTTTGATCAACCTTATTTATTTATTTTTTAAATAATTCTTTATTGTTGAAAGTATTACATATACCCTCCCTCCTACCCTCCCCCCTCCATTGACCCTCTCCAGCTGATTCTTATTTATTTATTTATTTATTTATTTATTGAGAGTATTGTGTTCTGATTCTTGAGCATCTTTTATAAAGGTCATATTTTCACAAAACCCCTCAGAAATTAAGTTGTTTTTGTGTGGTGTAAAATCAAGAAGTGACTTTATATTTTTATTAAATGTGTTTTAGATTGTCATATAGACAATGGTATGTCTTAATGGCTTTATTTTGATCAGATGAACGAAACTTTCAGATCTGATTACAAAACCCTAGAGGTTTATTTGTGGATTTTTAAAAGCCATTTTGTGTTCATTAAATTGTTTTCAAACTCTCTCTCCAACCAGTGGTCTATTTTTTATATAAAGTAAGACAATAAAAATAAAACACAATTTAGAAGAATGTCAGGGTGAAAACCGTATAGTAGCATGTAATGATGTTCAGCTGACCCAGATATGAGTATGCTTGTCTGCTGTCTTCACAAGCATATATGTCCATTTGATGAACACTAGGTGTTCTCAAAAAATTTTATTAAAGTGGGAAAATACTTATTATAGTTTTCTGATTTTAAAGTACACATTTTTCCTTTTTAACATCTCTGAAATTGTGATATGTCTTACAGTCAATAGTATCTTGCACTGATATTTTTCTTATAAGATGGTGCATTAGTTACATCAAATAATATTAGTCATTAAATTAAGAAAACTCATTCTCCTCATTCTTTCCTGTCTGCCTTTGGATGTACATGTTGAATAATTCTATACCCATCCTTTCATTGCAATCAGGAGCTTACCCAACCAGGAAGCTTATCCCCTTCATCCAGAGAAAGCCGATGAAATATCTTTTGTTTTTGCAGGTTTTTATTAATAGACCACAAGCAGATCTTCCAGTCTCGGGTCTCTAACTACAAAAGGTATGATGGAACCTTTCTCTCTTCCCCATCCTTTCCATTCCTCCAGCCGCTGGGGCTCCTCCATAGAAACTTAGTTTGTGTGACTGTCCCTGGAACTGTTTCTGGAACCTACTCATCCCCAGGTCCTCCCTCCCCAAAGTGACTCACTAATGTGGGACTATCTGAGGTTTCTCTGGGAAGAAAAGGAAGAAGGAGCATCCCCTTACCCTACTGTGGAGGATGTGATCAATTATTATCCTCCCTGGATAGGACCTAGGCTCAATGACCTGGAAAGGCCATTTCAGCACTTCCATTCTGTCCGTCTCCAAGCCTTCACCTTAGGTAAGAACTTTCGCTTTCATTCACCTCTCAGGGTGCTCTGACTCTTTACAGCTGAAGGCTCCTCTTGTCCGAGACAAACAGTATTACTTAGCAGTATGCATGCTCTAGCAACATGAATGACATGAAGAGTAACCGAGAACTGTACCTGCAATACATATCCGTGGCCCCTAAGCTGCTGGCCAACATCTCCAAATTACTCCTCACGTGCCGGAACACAGGCATTGCTATACCTAAGGGCATCAGAAACATCTTTGAGTTCACTTGGGAGGAGCTCATCACTGACCCTATGGTGCCTACCCCGTCTGACATTCTGGGCCTGGAGATCAGCTTTGGAACCCCATCTGTGGTGCCTGTGGAATCAACCCCTGTGCAGATCCACGTCCAGAAGAAGCCGCCCCCGCCGCCCCCACCACCACCACCAGTACCACAGCCACGGTTGCTAACCGCTGCGCCAGGCAAGTTCACCCCCCGTGGCCGTCGGGCAAACACTGGTCGGGAGACCCTATACAAGTTCCAGCGGCAGTCCATCCACCTGCTGACCGAGCTGCTCACCCTGAAGATGAAGGCCATGCTGGAGTCTGTGTCTGGTAAGGCTGGCTTGTCAGATTCTTCTCCATTTTTTCTGGGCTTGGAATAGTCTGTCTGGACCGATGTGTCTACTGCACCTACCCCAAAGAGTTATATAAGGGTGAACTGGGAACAGGTGGCTGCCATGGATCTGCTGTAGGAGTTGAACTTCTACCATGACTACCCACAAGAATCATCCTCTCACCCCTCTCTGCTCTCCACTTTTTCTTCCATTCCATTAATTTTGCAGAGCCAAGACTGGAAGATGGGCCGTGGAGAATTGGGCGAGGGTCAGAGGTACTGATGGGTGGAGTTTGTGGAAATGACATAGAGGTGGAGAGAGGCGGCACCCAGGAGGAAAGGGCTTGTGGAGTTGCCAGTCAAGAGGAACGATTGTTGGGTAGCAAGAAAGCCCAGAAGAGCCAGAATCAGGGAGAGTTATGAGAACAGGTCCATCTATTGTGGGGGTGTCATCTCTAGATCAAGGCCAGGACCTAGAGCCACATCAGTAAAAAGAAAACTAAGTACTGCATTATTTTAAATACCAACAGCATTGATACCCAGGCCTATGAGTACGGAAGAGAGAAGGACAAGGCGGGGCAGAGAGTACATGCCATTTGAGAGGTTTTGAGAGCTAGAGACCCTCCCACTAGAAGCCCCTCACACTTTCTTATCCTAGATATGGATCTACACTCTACTCTTATCTCCCTTTTCTGAAAACATTAGCCCATGCTGAGAGGAAAATGAATTGTTTTGTTGATTCCTTTATTAGGTGCCAACCCCTTGGACATCACAAGGCGCTTTGTGGAGGCCAGCCAGCTCCTCCACCTCAATGCCAAGGAGATGGCTTTTGACTCCCTGGTTGGCACATTTGCGAGAAATAGCTTTGGTGGACTGATGGGAAAAGGTGGGTACCTGAGCTTCAGCCCTTAGGTGAAAACTCAAACAGAACCAACCAGAGTGCAATGGAAAGGTCAAATCCCATTTAAACGGATGACATTTCCAAGTGTTAAGGTGGATGCGGAGCAATGGAGTTTCTCAAATGCTGCAGGTGAGTGCCATTCCCCGTGGAGAGCAGTTAGGTGGCATCTGTGGGGAGAGAGATACCAAAAACAAACACGAAGGGACTAATTTTATTATTAACATACAACCATTCAGGAAAAAATTAACACAGTCTTCATTTCTTATAACAATTAGCATGTGCTCCAATATCAATTCATTTTTGTTAAATACAAGATAAAAGGGTTTTGTGTGTGTGTGTGTGTGTGTGTGTGTGTGTGTGTGTTTTAATCCATTTTGTTTTCCTTTTCTAAGATAAAATCCCAAACATTTCCTCCCACACTATTTACCATGCAATGGATGTATCTTATGCCAGTTCTGTTCAGGATCAGCTATGTGTCCTGGTAACACAGGTCCTCTAAATTGTTCTGTAACTATTTTTGCAGATAATTACCAGCATATATGGAGTTCTGCACCTTGTGTTCCATACAGAGCTTAGAGATCCGTCTCATTTGGGGTGGACAACTGCCTATTGTTCTGTTTATGAGTAGGGAGAGTCCCACAAGGGTATCATGGTAGCTCTGGCCCAAACACCTACTCTCAGACCTGCCCATGGTGCTCTCCCACCCGAATATTCTGTTCCCTCACCTTGGAAAGGAAACGGTTGTCATCAATCACACTCCACCTCATGAAGTATTTAAGCATTCTCGCAGAGTCCCAGGCTTTCCCCTGTGCTGCAGTAGCTTCCGGTGTGGTTAATCTAGTGGAGGGGAATTTGCAGAAAGCTGAACCTCCGAGAGAGATCCTTTTGGTGATGTCTGTGCCCTGCTGAATTAGCAGAGCACTGGGAAAACCTTCCCATCACACTTCCCAGGAATTCTCTCTCACTTGTTGCCACATCCGTTCCAGACACTTTTTTCTTTAAACCATCCTAGAGTTAGGGGGGAAAAATCAAAATGTCAAAATATGAATGAAGAAGCTATCCATTTCTTTTCGGAAGCATTCATCTTAGAAGGACTTGAGTTAGCTCTCCCAGGGCATTATAAAGAAGATGCAAATCAATTTATTTTGCGTGAATATTGCTTTTCTAGACCATCTTATTATGTGAAGTAGATCAAAGCTATAAATGAGTGTAGAGTAATTTTGTTCCCTTAAAGCTGTTGCCAAAATATACACAGTAAGATTAGTTCTAGCCTTTTCTCCTGCCCTTAATACCTGCTAGTCCTGGCTTGTAATGAAAGAAAACTACACTACTCCTTGATTTTTGGTTGATGGCAATATCTATATTAATAAAAGAGTAATATGCTAATTAGACCAGGAGACCTTCTGGACAAAGCTTGGGGTTTGGCTGGTCTGCAAACTGCCTCCTAACGCCCTTAACCCCTCACCCAGGCTGGCGACACCCCTCAGTAGAGACCCCCAACCCTGAAGGGTACATGGCCAACCTCAGCCCCTCACCCAAGCTGGCCACGCCCCCTAAGGGGAGCCCCCCCCCACTCCAATGGGGGGTCATGGCCAGCCCGCAAACTGCTCCAGCCTCTCGCCCAGGCTGGCCCCACTCCCCAAGGAGATCCCCACCCTGATCCGGATCCCCCTTCAGGGCAGACCAGCAGCCCTGACACATGCCTTTATTAGGCCTCTATACTAATAAAAGCATAATATGCTAATTAGACCGGGAGACCTTCCGGATGTCTTTCCGGACAAAGCCATGGTGGTGGGGACCAGGCAGAGGAGGTTAGAAGTGATCAGGCCAGGAGGGAGGAGAGGGCAGTTGGGGGCAAACAGGTCGCTAAAGGGGGCAGTTGGGGGCGAGTAGGCTGGCAGGGGGGCAATTGGGGGTGAGCAAGTCAGTGGGGGGGCAGTTGGGGGCAAGCAGGCTAGCAGGGGGGCAGTTGGGAGCAATCAAGCCAGTAGGGAGGGCAGTTGGGGGTGATCAGACCAGTGGGGAAGCAGTTGGGGCAAGAAGTCTGGCAGGCAGAGTGGTTAGGGGTGATCAGGCAGACAGATAGGTGAGCCATTAGGAGCCAGCATCCCAGATTGCAAAAGGTTGAAGAGGGTGCAGGCCAGGCAGAACGTCCCCCCACCCCGAGCATAAATTTCATGCACCAGGTCACTAGTTATTGTATAAAACATACCAAAAAAGAAAGCAAGTAATCTTGTCATCTTTGCATATGTAACTATTTTTCTTTAATATATTCAATTTTCTCCTTCCCTCCTTCCTTTCTTTCCCCTCTCCCTCCCTCTTTCCCTTTCTCTCTTTCTCCCCTCTTTGTGTATAGTTTTAAAAGAATACTGCAGTGTTCTGTTTCTCAGTATCCTTGACTTAATAGACAATTGTTTTCCAACATGGCTCTATGCTTTTAATAATTGTCATTTTAAGTGGGTGTAGATTTCTTCTAATATGTATGTTTCATAATTAACCAAATGCTTAGGTTTCCAGGTTTTTTGTTATTAGTAATTTATGCATTGTAATATGCAACTTTATATATGTCACTTATTTCTGTTGTATTGGTGATTTAGATTGATTACCCAGGAAAGGGCTTATTGGGGCAGAGAGTCTCGATATGTGTTTAGCTCTTGCTAAATATTGCTTTCTTGATGGGTTTTCTCTACACCAGCAGGGTTGATTAGTTTTTTTCCATCTTTACCATCATTGGCTATTGTTAGTTCTTTTCTTTTTTGATAAGTTAGAAGGTGCTGAAGGTTGTTCCAATTTCAGTTTTTGGATCACTAATGATAGTGAGTGATTGTGTGTTACATCATCCAGTGTGCAGTCTCTGGTTATTATCTTTGTCTACTTGTCAAGTCAGATTTGCCATTTTCTTTATGGATTTGTATAAACCATGTCAATAAAGAGATGCTTAACATTTCCTAACAATTAACTGGTGAAATGACCATATTTGGGGGGAGAATAAGGAAAGGATTTGATGAGGTTTATGTGAGAATGATTAAGATTTTCCAGAGTGATGGGGCTGCTAAATTCTAATTCTTAAGTGTTCAGAAAATCAAATGATTCTACAGACAATAGCATGATTCTGCAAGAGGCTGATCTGATTGTTAGAGAAGCATCTGATTTCTATGGCTCGGATAAGGGAAAATAGGTGACTTTAAATGTCCTTCTAGTCAGCTCATTGCTGTTTTTCTCTACTTAATGCAGCAGTTATACCTGCATTTGCCCTTTAGTCACATATCACCTTTTGTGTTTGATTGCTGCTTCCTGCTCTAGTCATTTCACTCTTGAGAGGTATTGGAGGGGGTGGGGATAATGTAGAAAGGAACCTTAATTTCCATTAATTACTCAGAGCCTGCTTATTTATTAAAGTCTTTTTATTCCAAGAGGTAGTTGTTTTGTACAATAGGACACTAGAATATTTGGTCTATCATATTTCTAGAACAAAACAAAAAAAATCCATATTACTTTTTTTTGTTAAGAAAATATAAAGTTAAAAAATTAAAAGAAGTAACCATGTCTCTTCCATTCCAGAGCCCTTCATGACCGCCCCAATCTTGGGAGTGAACTCGCCTTATCAGCTTATCTATGAAGCCTCTACTGGCTGTCTGAGTTTTTCCCTCTCAACTGGAAGGGAAGCCAAGAAAAAAGCAGGTAACAGTGATTCCAAGCAAGACCTCCTAGCCCATCTGTGGAGGTAGGGAGGTGGATGTAAGATTCCCCGTTTAGGTTAATAGCACAGTTTGATTTGGTTTTTGATAGGAAGGATAGACAGTTTCCCTGGCTGGTGACAGAAGCTATTGAAATAGATACTTTCCAATAAAGTCAGCACATCTCAACCCAGTTACTCCAAAGTAGAATCTTATCATTTGAATGTTTACATGCCTTCCATTCCTGGTGATGTGGTTCTCTTCACCTGGGACAACACTTCTCTCAAACCCACATTTTCTATTCCCTCAGTGGCCCAACCTGAATCCCTTTGATCAAAGAGATCTGGGTTGCTCTTACTCACAAAACAAGTGGGGGAATCAATACCTGAAGAGAGATATTTGTCTGCAAAATCTAACACTGTGTCTTAAACTGGGCCTGTTCATGTGGGCAGAAAACACAGAGCGCACTCCTATTCTATTGAGAAAGACATACAACAGAAGGAAAGGCTTAAGGAAAGAAAGGGTGGCACATGAGGCAAACAGTACAGCAATGACTGTGCAGACAGAAGCTTAGAGGAGACATGAGTTGGAGAAGGTAGGGTAAAGGTCAAGGAACTTCCAGGCCTCCCCTCACCTTCCAGGCTTTGATTACAGAGTGGTGGAATGGGAACATAGGGGAGGACTACATTCAAAAGAGGTGGTGGGAGGATCGATATAAGGTAGGAAGAAATGCTCAAAGACTGTACAATTGATTCCCACAGACACTGGGAGGTAAGGCTGGAAGTTGAGAAGTTTGGATTTTATTCCTGCCCCTGCCCCTGCCCCTGCCCCTGGCTGGCTGTGTGATTTGCCTTCCTCCTGTCCTCACTCTCCATATCAAGCTGATCCTATATCCTTTCAGTTAGTGAACAAATGTTTATTAAACAATTGCTAGTTGTTGGTCACTGTTCTAAATGCCAGGGGTGCACATGTGGACTCTAAGACAAAGACTGCCTTTCCTAATGGAACTGACAACCTAGCTTTCCTGAACAGAGTAGTCTCAGCTGTCCCCTCTCATTTTCTTGCTTCCTTTATTTCTGTTGATGTGTCTTCTCTCACTGTGGTTCAATGGCCCACATCACTTATGGAATCCCACTTTATGTATTCCTGGTTTTACCATATCCCCTCCTGGCCCTAAATTGACACAATCACTTTAAGGCAAAACGAAGTATCCTCAAGACACACAGTGATTTCATGATTTTTCTTTCTGGTGACCTCAAGTGTAATGCCTTGAGTAAGGTAGTTCCTAAGCAAAAATTAATTATGTTTGCTCGTCTCTTTGTCTTCCTCTGGTTGTTTTCCTCTGATACCACACCAAGATGCAATTTGTCTTATTGGTTCATCATTCTCACTAAGATATATAGTTCAGTGATGCTGCATTTCTTATTAAATATGGAATTATTCTCATTCATACATGCTAGAATGGAACCTTCCTTAATAGTTTTTAAATTTAATTTAATTTAGCTTTATTTTATTGTTGACAATATTACAAATGCCCTTTTATTTCCCCCCTCCTCACCACCTCTTCTTTTCCTATCTGTTCCATGTTCATGTGCTATTACACCTTACCAGCTAACCCCATTTGGAGTTACAGGGTCAGGAAGACTTGGAGCAGATAGGTTCCAGGAGTTGGACTTAATCCCAGAGGACAATAGTTCTTTCTGGAAAGTAACCCAAATTTATGAGAGAACTGAGATAAGTCTTTCAACAATGGTTCCTTGTAGGGGCAAGAGATTGCCACCCTCAAGGACCCAAGACAACCAGGAACAAGCCAGACATGAATGCTCAGGCCAGCAGATGTTCCAGGAGCCAACTAGCTGGAAATTGGTCCTCAGGGTCAAGTCTCTAGTCTCTGGTGGTAGGAAAAGTTGGGGAAGGGACCAGGAATCATGCAGGGTGTCAGAAAGCAGAGATGGCCCTCAAGCACTAGCCAGAAACCTCGAGACTTGGCTAACAGTGAGGAAAAATCTTTCTGAGGTCCTCAGAGCTGACTTGGAGCTGATAAATGCCCCTGACATGAAGCCAGGTTTTATTTTTGAGACTAAGGTGTAGTTGAGCCTGCATATATTTAGGGAAAGCATGTGGCTCCATCTGGGTGGGCAGTAGGAACTCAGAAGTGGCAGGACCTAAATAAATGCCTTTAGAACTTCAGTCATGGAGAATTATCTCCAAAATTTCATGCCATCATATTCTCAGACCCCCTAACACTTGTCACACACAGAAAATAATTGTAAAAAAAAATGTAAGACAAACATAAAAACATTATCATTCACAGATTTGAACAGGCAGAAGCAGCACACTTGAAGATAGGGCAATAGAAATTATTGAATCTGAAAAACAGAAAGAAAAGATTGAAAAGAAATGAATAGAGCCAAAGGAACCCATGGGACACCATCAAGTGGAACAGCATACATAATGTGGGAGTCCCAGAAGGAGAAGAGAGAGAAAGAAAGAGAAAGGAAAATAAAATATTTGAAGAAGAAATGGCTGAAAAATACCAAATTTTATGAAAGTCTTGAATATAAATACCAAAGATTCCATGTAAGAGGAACTTAAAGAGACCCAGATCAAGACACATTATAATCAGACTTTCAAAAGACAGCATCTTAAAAGCCAAAAGAGAAAAGCAAATCATATATACAAGTAATCCTCAATAAGATTATTAACAAATTTCTTATCAGAAGTTTTGAAAGCCACAGGAACTAGCACTAAAAGAAAAAAATAGTCAATCAAGAATTTTGTATTCATAGAAAAAGATATAAAAAAGTGGAAGAATATACCGTGTTCATAGATTGGCAGAATTAACATCATTAAAATGGCCAAACCACCTAAAGCAATGTATAGGTGCAATGCAATCCCTATTAAAATACCAATGGCATACTTTAAAAATCTAGAAGAAACACTCCAAAAACTTATATAGAACCAAAAAAGGATTCCAAATAACTGCAGCAATCTTGAGAAAGAACAACAAAGTTGGAGGGATCACAATACTGAATATAAAGTTATAATACAAAGCCACTGTAATCAAAATAGACTGATACTGGCACAAGAACAGATACATAGATCAATGGAACAGAACAGAGATCTCAGAAATCGACCCGAGCCATTATGTTCAATTAATGTTTGACAGTGGAGGAAATAGCATACAAAGGAATAGACAGTCTCTTCAATAAATGGTATTGGGAAAATTGGACAAGTAACATGCAAAAATATAAAACTATACCACGAACTTATACCATATACAAGGATAAACTAAAAATGGATAAGAGACTTAAGTATAAATCATGAAACTATAAAAATCCTAGAAGAAAATGTAGACAGCAAAGTATCTGACATCTCATGTAGCAGAATTTTTACAGATACATCCTAGAGCAAGAGAAAAGAAAAAATTAAACTAATTATACTACATCAAACTAAAAAGCTTCATAGCAAAGGAAACCAGCATCAAAATGAAAAGGGAACTCACTGTATGGGAGAATATATTTGACAATGTTACTTTTGATAAAGGATTGATTTACAAAATACCTAATTACTCATATAACTCTACAAAAAAAAAAAAAAAGACAAACAATCCAATTTTTAAAAAATGGGCAGGAAATCCTGTAAGATGAAATGAAAATACACTGGACCATACCTTGAAATCATGTGGAGAAATAAAGATCTCAATGAAAGTGAAATCTTGGGCAGTTTAAAACTAGTGATATTATAACAATGGCTTGTAACTGAATTTTTCTACATGATTTAAAAGACTACTACAGCCAAAACCAGTTTGGCTCAGTGGATAGAGCATTGGCCTGTGGACTGAAGGGTCCCGGGTTTGATTCAGGTCGAGGGCATGTACCTTGACTGCAGGCATATCCCTGGTGGGGGATGTGCAGGAGGCAGCTGGTCGATGTTTCTCTCTCATCGATGTTTCTAGCTCTCTATCCCTCTCCCTTCTTCTCTGTAAAAAATAAAATATATATTTTTTAAAAAACCTTAAAAAAAAAAAAAGACAACTACATCCCTGGCCAGTTTGCTCAGTGGTTGGAGCATTGGTCCATGAACCAAAGGATCAAGGGTTTAATTCCAAGTCAAGGGCACCTACCTTGGTTGCAGGCTTGATCCCTGGCCCCAGTTGGGGTATGAGCCGGAGGCAACTAATTGATGTGTCTTTCTCACGCCAATGCCCTCCATCTCTCTCTCCACCTCCCCCCTCCCATCATCTCTCTTTCATATCAATAAAAATATATTTTTGGGATTAAAAGAAAGAAAAGATCTAAACAATCTAACTTTAAAATTATAGAAGGAAGGAAATAATAAAGATTAGAGCAGAGATAAATGAGAGAATAGAAAAAACTTAAAAAACAATCAATGAAACTAGAAGGTGATTACTTTGCAAACATAGACACATTTGACAAACCTTTAGCTAGATCAACTAAGAAGAAAAGAGAAGACTCAGATTACAAAAATAAATGGAACTTACTAATTCTATAGAAATAAAAGAGATTGCAATGAATAGTTGGACACCAATAAATTGGATAACCCACATAAAATGGAAAGATTTCTAAAAGCATAAAATGTACCAAGACTAAATCATAGATAAACAGAATATCTGAATAAACAAATAGTCTGGAGATTGAATCAGTAATCAAAAATCTCCCAACAAAGAAAAGCCCTGGGCCTGGTGGCTCCAGTAGTCCAGACATTTAAAGAAAAACTAATGCCAATCATTTTCAAGCTTTCCCAAAAATGTGAAGAGGGAACACTTCCCAACTTATTCTATAAGGCCTTCATTATCCTGATACCAGAACCAAAGACACTATAGGAAAAAAATAACTGCAGACCTATATTCCATATGAACACTGATGCAAAATTTCTCAACAAAATACTAGCAAATAGAATTCAGCAGCATATTAAAAGGATTATACACCATGACTCCAAGGATAGTTCAACTTACAATATATATATATATATATATATATATATATATATATATATATATGTCATGCACATTAAGAGCACTCCCCACATATCATCTCAATTGATGCAGAAAAGCCATTTGACAAAATTCAACACACTTCCATGTTAAATACAACAACACTCAAACTAAAGGAAATCACCTCCACATAATAAAAATAACATATGACAAACTGACAGCAAACATTATACTTAATGGTAAAAGACTGAAAACTTTTCCTCTAAGACTAGGAACAAGGTAAGGATGCCTGCTTTAACCACCTCTGTTCGACATAGTATTGGAAATTCTAGCCAGAGCAATAAGATAAGAAAGGGAATAAAAAGCACCCAAATTGGAAAGGAAGGAATAAAGTTATCTGTTTGCAGATGATAGTACTTTATGAATAAAAACCCTAGAGATCCCATCAAAAAGCCTGTTAGAACAAAAAAACAAAAAACAAAAAAATCAGAAAAGTAGCAGGATAGTCAACACACAGATCAGTTGCATTTTCATGTATGAACTAGAGGCCCCATGCATGAAATTCAGGCAAAGGGCTCAGCTCCCACAGCCCTACAGCCCTGGCTGCCTCCGCCAGCCCCCACAGTCTTGGCTGGCCCTCGGAGCCCTGGCTTCATCCTGAACATCATCCAGAAGGTCGTGCGGATAGTTGTTCTGCTGTTCAATCTAATTAGCATATTAACTCTTTATTATATAGGACAATAATCTGAAAAGGAAACTAGAAAAACAATTTCATTTACAATAGCAGCAAAAAGAATAAGATACTTAGGAATTAACTTAAGCAAGGAGTTGAAAAACTTATATAATGCAAACTATAAGTTGTTGCTGGAATAAATTAAAAGAGACTAAGTAAACGGAAACATGTTCTATGTTCATGGATCAGTACCACCTAGAATGATCTACAGTTTTAATGCAATTGCTATTCAAACCCCAATTATGTTTGGGGTTTTTTTGCAGAAATAGAAGAACTCATTCTAAAATTCATATACAATCTCAAGGGACCCCGGAATAGCCAAAAATAGAATTGAAAAAGAATAAAACTGGAGGACTCGGTTTCTGATTTAAAAACTTACAAAGATACAGCAATCAAAACTACAGTGTGGTATTGGTATAGAGACAGATATATAAACCAAAGAAATAGAATAGAGAGCTCAGAAGTAAACTTGCATATATGATCAAAGGATTTTACAAGGGTGCCCAGACTATTCAATGGGGACGGGGGGGGGGGGGGGGGGGGGGAAGGGGGGGAAGGGAGAAATACAGTATTTTCAACAAGTATAATAGTACAGGAAAACTTGACAATCATCTTCAAAGGAATGAAGTTGGACACTTATCTAACATAATATAAAAAATTAACTTCAAATAGAGCAAGGACCTAAATGTAAGAACCAAAACAATAAAACTCTTAGAAGAAAACATTGGTGAAAAGCTTTATCACATTGGATTTGACAATGATTTCATGGATATGACACTATAGACATAGGCAATATTAAAAAAAATAGACCAATTGGACTTCATGAAAAAAATTAAACTTTGTGCATCAAAAGACACTATCCACAAAATAAGAAGGCAGTCCATAGATGGGAGAAAATATTTGCAAATCAAATATCTCATAAGGATTAATATCCAGGATATATAGAGAGCTTCTAATATTCAACAGTAAAAAAAACAAGCTGAATTAAAATAGGCAAAACACTTGAAAATATATTTCTCCAAAGAATATATACAAATGGCCAATCAGCACATGACAGATGTTTAATATCACTAATCTTTAGGGAAATACAAATCAAAACTATAATAAGCTACTACCACATCCTACCCCAATAGGATATCTATTATCACACACACACACAAAAAACCAAGATATGAAATGAATAGAGAGACTCTTGTGCATTGCTGATGGGAATATAAAATGGTACAGCCACTGTAAAAAACTGTGTGGCAATTCCTCAAAAAAAACAAAAAATGGAATTACCATAACATCCAGCAATTTTACATCTGGGTATATATCAAGAGAATTAAAAACAAGGTCTCTGAGTGATATTTGTACACCCATGTTCCTAGCAGCATTATTCACTATAGCTAAAATGTGGAAGCAACCCAAGTGTCCATCAGTGGATGAATGGATAAAGAATATAAAATCTACAGTAACAATGAAATATTATTCGACCTTTAAAAGGAAGGAAATGCTGACACATGCTATAACATGGATGAACCTCGAGGACTTTGTGCTACCTGAAATAAGGCAGTCACACAAAGACATATACTGTACAATTCTACTTATATGAGGTATATACTAGTAGAGTAGTCAAAAATTATAGAGACAGAAAGTAGGATGGTGGTTTTTAGGATCTGGGAGAGGTGGAATAGAAGTTATTGTCTAGTGTAGGGGTGTCGAACTCAATCAGAGAAGGGGCCAAAATCTAAAATCCAGCCTAAATCGCGGGCCGAATGGTTTACTGAACAGTCATAAACTGTCATTGTGATGGAAACGCAGCGGAGTGCAGTGATGACAGCGCGGTGCGGGCCACATTGCAAGGCCTGGCGGGACGGATTTGGCCCGCGGGCCTTGTGTTTGACACATGTGGTCTAGTGGATACAAAGTTTTAAATTTACAAGATGAAAAGAGTTATAGAGATGGATAGGGTGGTAGTTGTGCAACAGTGTGAATGTATTTAATATCACTGAACTGTACACTTAAAAATGTTTAAGATAGTAAAGCTATGTAAATTTTATCACAATATTCAAAAAAATTACAGTTTAGTTCTCAATGGAGCCAGACTGCCCTCTGCAGAAGGCCTGAGATTAGCCAACATCAGAGAAATGTTGAAGCCAATTGAGATGGTATTGAAACTTTTTTGTTCAATCAGAAATATCCACGGCAGGCACATCTATCTCCTCTCCACCTACAACCAGGCTGCTCTTGGGGAAGCATAGCTGGATTCATCACTCTGTTCAAGCCTGTTTCAGACACACTCTGTTGACTCACAGAGTGATATGTTTTATCAGTGACCTGTGCCCAGGAAGCATAAATGATTCAATTATTTTGACTCTCAGGAGGAGATGTGATTCTCTTGCTCCCCACCGCACTACTCTTCCCCAGGAGAAACCATTTTCTAAAACTCTGTCCCTAACCTTTTTACAACTACAGGCAAACTGAAAAATTTTGAAGAGGTAAGCAGCACATCACCCCTTCAACGAGGAATAGGAACTACCCCTAACAATGTGGAGATCAGTGATCCCTGTCCTGAGGCCCGGGAGAAGCTGCAAGAGATGTGTCGTCATATGTGAGCACCTTAGAAGTTGGGGGTAGATGGGAGAGGAGGGCAGGGCTGGCAATCACCTGTGTCTGCATAAAGGGAAAATCACAAAAGTGTATGAGTACCAGGAAGTGTCAGCTATCCAATACCCCTAATAATAGTGACAGCGTGATGGCTTGTTCCCAGTCCTTCCTCGAAATCCTTTTCAGTCCCTTGAGGAAGATGGGATTGATGCCCATTTTGTGGGTGAGGAAACTGAGGCATTGAAGTCCTGCAGTCTGGTGAGCCTGACCCAAAGCATTGATCTTTGCCTTCTCACCAGAGATACCATATCCTTTACGGGACTTCTTACAGAGACTTCTTTGTGCCCTGAATGTTTTTTTCTTAGCATAATTTGTCAGAGTCCTCCTGCAAAAAACAAAGGAAATATCTCTTAAAACAAACAGAAAATGTGACATGGATGATTAATGGTATTTATGATATCACTAGAGGCCCGATGCATGAAATTCTTGCAAGAGTAGGCCTTCCTTCCCCCAGCTGCCGGCACCAGCTTCCCTCTGGCCGCAGGCAGGCACTCAGGACCTGAGCTCTCCTTGCAGCTTGGAAGGATGTCTGATCTAATTAGCATATTATGCTTTTATTATTATAGATGGATCCAACAAGTCCTAGCAAGTTAAGTCTACATTTCTCTGAACCCCAAACAATGGGCCATAAAGGACTTGAAACTTAGTCAACACTAAGCCATATATGTCTTGGGCTCCCTAGGCCATTGAGTATTACTATAGCTACAGAACATGGATAAAAGGAAGCCACTCACTTTTGCTCCTTATTATTACATTCTAGAAGGAAGCTATCTTCCCCTGTAACCTCAGGACTTAGAGGGTGAGCAAAGACTCCAGCTCCCGCAGGTTCCCCTTCAGCACAGTTCTACTCCATGGTCCTTACCTAGTGCTAAAGGTGGAAGGACTAGTCTCAAAGTTATGAGGTGGGGACAGGTACTTTTGGGACAGGGAATGAGATGGGAGTCTTAGGTGCTGGGGAGGGGCTGTAGAGAACTTCCCTGGTGAGTGAGAGTCAAGTGGCTAGAAGATATGTTGGTCTTCCCTACAGAGAATCCGAAAGGACCACGTGGAAAGGGAGGAATGCCTTCTACCCCATGGTGTTACGCAACTACGGGGCAAAGATGCCCACTCGTTCAGGGTCAACCCTGAGCTCCATTCACCCTCACCTTCAGATTCCCACTCCCTCTCCTCACCAATCCACCTCCCATGTTCACTTCATTCAGCAATCTCAGGAGTGGAAGGGAGGCAAGAAGAACATCAAGTTTCATTACTCCTTCTATGATGGGTCTTCCTTCGTTTAGTATCCTTTTATTTGGGGCTTCCCCTTGTCCCCTGCAACTTAGCCCTAAAGAACTTCTGGGCCTGAGTATTTACTTTGGTATTTTCAGTTAATCTAAGGAACCTGATGACAGGTCTTCCAGGGCCTTAAGAGCAGTTTCTATGTGAGAGAGGACTCCCTTTGGAGAACATCTGGTTGGGAAGTCACCTTGGACCCCTGTATTCCTGTATCCCTTGTAGGGATCCTGTCACCCACTCTCCAACATGTTCTAGAGCCTGACCAGATCACAGATGCCCAACTCATTTGTCAGTAAGGCTGAACTCAGAGAGGGCAAAACACTTATTCCAGGTTTTGCAGTCTGAATTGGATGAGATGTCAAAGAAGGGAGACACTAAGCCATTATTCATTCTCGTCCCTTCATTTTAGGAATAAATAGTCTGACTCATTCAATGTCACAAAAGGAATTTGGTGGCAGAGCCAAGCCTGAATTCAAGGCTGCCTCACCTCTATTTAGGGCCCTCTCTATGACACCGTTTTTATGCCTTTTAGGATTGTTTCCTCCAACAGAGAGCAAAATAGAGAGGATGGAAGGGGATGGATAAAACCACTGGGTATTATGTCCCCTACCTTTGGAGAATATGGCAGTTCTCTGAGCTATCAAACAAGCTGCCCAGACAGGCCTGCTTGGCAACACCCCCCTCAATTCATTTGGCCTCCTCTCTGCTGAGCTGGGAATCCAGAATTTAAGTACCCTGTCAAAGGAATCGTATTGTTTCTATGACCGTAAATGAGTCCATTCATCACACTCTGCTCAGCCCTGCTTCTAATGTGCCCTGCAATATTGAACACAGCAAACTCCTTCCAGGTTGCTGCTGCTCCCTATGTGTCATGGGGCTTCCCTCTCCTCCCTTTTCTTACTCTACACTGCATTGAATAGGATAATCTCCCTGAGCTCCCCATGAAGCTGTGTCTGTGAAATAGGTTGTTATTAATGGGGCCAGAGAGGGTGGACTAGTTTATAATCAGGGCCCAACACCAGCCTGCTGGGCTCCATGTTCTCTCACCTGTCCCGGATTCCTAAGCCCAACCTGGATGGGACCACCCAAAGCCTGCAGGCCATCGCCACTGGCATGCTTGACTCATACCCCAACAATGAACACATCCTGGCAATTAATGTGTTTCCTCTTTGGGAGTCCCAGGAGGTCTGGGTTTGGGGCTTAGTTCTTCTTGGTGACTGTGCACAAGTCACTTTATCTCTCTGGGCCTCACTTCCCTCCATTATAAGATGAGGAAGTTAGACTCAGTGATCTTAAAGGAGAAATTCTGTTATTGTGTTCAAGCGGTTAAAACACACGATGCAGCTGTTGGATCCCTCTTGAGTAAAGAGAATGTTTAGAAAACACTTCTCTCTTCTCATAGCTTCACAGAACAGTAGGCTCAGCAATTGATTCTATTTTTACGGAGATACTTGGAAAAGCTCTTAGGTAGAAATAATATTTCTGCCCTTGGAATGCCAAAAAGCTCCTGATGGGCAGACCCCAGAACCATCCCAGTATACATTTCATTTGGGATGTCAGCATTTCCCTGAATCTCTTCCCTTAGTCACTGATTTCCCTCCAAATTTTCCTCAAAGTCCTTTTTCATATGAAGATATAAATTTATCACATTGATATCTATATAATAAATGCCTAAGCGACAGTTATAGCGTAACAACTGGTCACTATGATGTGCACTGACCACAGCTCAACACAGGATCTGCCTCCTGGTGGTCAGTGGCCTCCCAAAGGGGGAGCACCACTTAGCCAGAAGCTGGCTCATGACGCAACAGTGCTAAGGAGCAGCGAGCCAAGTGGTAAGGAACGAGGGTCCTGGACTGCAAGAGGGTGCAGGCTGGGCTGAGGGGACTCACCCTCCCTTGTGCACGAATTTCCTGCACTGGGCCTCTAGTAAAAATATAAACCTTGTTCACTCTGTGTTCAGTACTGTGCTCAGCACTATTCCTTTAGGGATGTGTTGAGTACTCAGAACCATAGTGTGAGGTAAGCATTTTTTTAATATGGTAAACTGCTCATAACATAAAATGTACCATTTTAACCATTTTTGACATGTATAATGTCATCAGGTGCATTCACAATATTATACAACCATCGCCACTATTTATTTCCAAACTTTCTCCACCCCAAAGGAAACCCCATACTTTTTAAGTGGTAGTCACTTCCATTTTCCTTCCCCTACCCTTCCTGATGACCGCTAATTTGCTTTTCACCTCTATGTATTTGCCCATTCCAAATATTTCTTATAAGTAAAACCATACAACATGTGCCCTTTTATATCTGGCTACTTTCACTTAGCATAATGTTTTTGAGGTTCTTCACATTGTACAGCTGACCCTGGAACATGGCAGGTGTTAACTCTGATAAGTGGATTTTTTTTAATTGATTCATTCAATTCAATTGGCCCTGCTCAGTTTAATTGTCCGAAGTTCATTTGATGGGCCAAGTTCAGTTGATCCTTGCAGTTCAAACTTGTGTTGTTCAAGGGTTGACAAGAGGCTAGGAATTCTTGAATGTGGAGGGCCAGCCTAAATTATACACAGACTTTCCTCTGCATGGGCAGTGGGCACCCTTTTTTTTTTTTTTTTTTTTTTTTTATAAAATATATTTTATTGATTTTTTACAGAGAGGAAGGGAGAGAGATAGAGAGCTAGAAATGTCGATGAGAGAGAAACATCAACCAGCTGCCTCTTGCACTCCCCCTAATGGGGATGTGCCTGTAATCAATGTACATGCCCTTGACCGGAATCGAACCTGAGACCCTTCAGTCCGCGGACCGATGCTCTAACACTGAGCCAAACCGGTTTTGGCGGTGGGCACCCTTAATCTCCATGTTTTTCAGAGTCAGTTGTAGTGTGCATTAGTACTTCATTCCATTTTTTTTAAGGGTGGGTAAAACTCACATAACATAAAATAGATTCTTCTAACATGTATTATTCAGCAGCATTTAGTACATTATAATGTTGTGCAGCTAGCACCTCTATCAAGTTCTGAAACGTTTTTATCACCCCAGAAGGAAAACCCTACCCCCATTAAGCATTCACTCCCCATTTCTCCCTACCCCCAGCCTGCCTGGCATCACCAATTTGCTTTCAGTGGGTTTGCCTATTGTGGACATCTCATATAAATGGAATCCTACAATATGTAGCCTTTTGTGTCTAGCTTTTCACCTAATATAATGTTTTCAAGGTTTGTACATGTTTTAGCATTTGTCAGAATTTCCTTCCTTTTGGTTCAGGGCGGGTCTTTGAAAACTGGGAACGATATACCATTTAGATAACAGCTTTGTAGACTTTTTTCCATGGGGCAACTGAGAATAGAACCTGGAGAGTTTTTTGTTAGTTCTACTTAACCATTTCTTCCAGCTATCCCTCCGGAAACATTGCCATGTGTCAGATCCCCACGTGCTGCAGAGGGAGAACCATCACCTTACTCTTTAATGACACACCCAACTTCTCCTGCCTGGCCTTATTCAATGCCGAAGGCCAGGGCTGTGTCCACTACAACCTAAAGTCCTGGTGAGTGAGTTGGAAGCTTATGGCCCCAGGGAAGTACCTCTGAGGGTAACAAAGGGGGGCGCTGGGGTGGCAAGGGCGTCCTTGGGGAAGGGAGAGGCCAGGCAGTGTTCAGAAGTTAAGAAGGCCACAAGGCAGTGCCTGCAGAAACATAGGTACTTTGAGGCCCTCACTGGCTGTATCTGTATCATAGCCAATGAGGAGGGCAGCTCTCCAAGACCTACTCCACTTGTGCCCCACAACACTAAGATTTTTGGCTAGATTAATGAACAATTCTTTAGCAGAGAGAAGTGTTTAAACCAAGAGAGAGTGAAGTAGAAGCTACAGGCACCACTTCTGTGGGGTGTTTTATTTTATTTTATTTTTTTATTATTATTTTTTTAAAATATATTTTTTATTGATTTTGTACAGAGAGGAAGGAAGAGAGATAGAGAGTTAGAAACATCGATGAGAGAGAGTCATCGATCAGCTGCCTCTTGCACACCCCCTACTGGGGATATGCCTGCAACCAAGGTACATGCCCTTGACCGGAATCGAACCCAGGACCTTTCAGTCCCCAAGCCGATGCTCTATCCATTGAGCCAAACCAGTTTTAGCCTGTGGGGTGTTTTAAAAGAAGCACGTATTTTTGTCAACCAATAGTTGGTTTTGCCTGGCCTTTCATAAGGAACTATTCTTTAAAGAAATGACTTACTTTCATGTTATAGATGTTCCCATTTTGATACCTTAGATCTTGCATACTCAGGCTCCTAGGCAATGGGGCACACATTCCATTTCTGTCCCTGTGGGTTTGGCCTGGAGCCTCCATCATCTCCCTCAATCATCTCCCTTCCCAACAATTCTCTCCCAGTAGGGTCAGTAGGACTGAAGGGACCTCAGACCACGTTAGGCAGGAGAAGCGAAGCTGCCTGCAGGAAGCCATGCTTGCTCCAGCTGGGGCAGACTCTCAGAGCCCTGCCTGCCTATTGCTAGCAGCAATGAGGGCTTCCTCCAGGGGCCCGGCGGCAGCTCCTCGCCTATGTGTCTCTCCTAGCTGCCCATATGTCTTGATCTTGGATGAGGAAGGCGGGACCACCAACGACTACAAGGGCTATACAGTCCACAAGTGGAGCTGGTCTTCTAAGACGGAGACTTTGCTCTCTTTGGAATATAAGGTAGGGGTTCACAGCACCGGGGGGGGGGGGGGGCAGCCTTGGCAGCCTTCCCTGGGCTGCTCAGCATCAAGAGTCAGAGGGCTACCTCTAAGATGAGAGCCCTGCTCTCCAGAAGCTTGTAGACTCATTCCAAGGTTCCCAAGTTGATGGGCAGTGGTCTAGGGCTGACTAAAGTGAACCTTTGGCAACTGTTGGCTGCTATACTGACCTTCTTGGTAATACCCTCCTGTGTTATTTTTATTATATTAACATTACATTTTGATAGTTTAAATGGCCTTTATTTTAGAAAGTAATCATTATAGTAGTAGTTGATAGTTTTATTTTTTATGCCTATACATGGCAATAAAAAAAATTAGCAAATCTATGTTGGTCTCTCCAGTTTGTTTTTATAACTTTACTTATCTATGAAATTAAAAAATCTGGGAGTCAAAGATGACTGATAGGTCCAAACCCTTTTTACCCCCCATTGTATTGTTCAGACAGCCATTAATCAGATTTATTAATTTATTATTCAATGTTGAATTACTAATGTCAAATAGTAACTTAAGTTTAAGTATTAATAAAGCAATTATCTAAGCCTGAGTTTCTCATTCTTAGGACTACTGACATTTGGGCATGGATAATTCTTTGTTACAGTGTTCCTTGAATTATAACTGTAGGATATTTAGCATGATGGCAGTAATATACTGTCCTCCAATTGTGACAACCAAAATATATCACCAGACATTCCCAAATGTCCCCTGGAGGACAAAATTGCCCCTGGGTGAGAATAACCAATCTAGAGGATGTAAAGGTGAGCAACATCCATTGAAGAAGTCAAAGCTCTGGATGGGGTTTAATAAGAACACAGGATAGAAACGAATAAGGGCTGTGAGAGAGGGACAAGCTCATAGAGTTGGGAGTCAGAAAAAGATTACAGAACATAGAATCACTCAAAGTGGCCTGAGAGTAAGAGCCCTAAGGTAAGGATTATGGACAAAAGCACTCTTGGGGTGCCTGGTAGGGTTCAGGCATCTTATCCTTAATCTCCTGTCTCTTGCCCTTCCTATTTATCCTCTATTGGCCACTGCATTCTCATGCTTATATCCTGCTTCCTTTAGATCAGTGAACCTCTGCTCAGAAACACTCCCTCTCTTGAACACACATCCACCTTCCTACTCCACCTTCCCAACACCAGCCTGAAATGTACTCCTTTTTTTTCTGCCAATCCAAAATGTTCCTCTTTCAACCCTCTGCTCAGACTTTCCCTTCGTTGTGGCATCCCACCCCACACCCATTCCTCTTTTCTCACATTGCTCCACAGCCTGGAGTAGTCATCTGATGATCAGCCATGCAGTGAAGAGGCTCTCAGCTCTAGTTGCATATCAGAATCACCTGTGTGACTTCAAAGATGCATATTTCCAGAGAGATTCTGATTCAGTTGGTTTGTTATAAGTTCTGGAATTTGAAGTTTTCATGAGTATTTCTGATACTTGGCCAGGTTCAAGATTTTCAATCTAGGGGTGTATTGAGTTGGTGTCTTAAAATTTAACTTTTTGTAGCTATATGGTAAGTTTATAATGCAAGATGATTATAAACTGGTTACAGGCAGACACTGTATGAAGTGTATCAGTTTGGCAAGTGGGCAGAGAGCCGGGATGAGAGACTGAGAGCCAAGTACCAGTGCTGGTTTTTCTGGGCTCTGGCTGTGCAGCTGTGTGAAAACCACTTAATTTTCCTGACTTTGGTTGTCTCACCAACACAAAGTGGGTCATCAGACCTGCTCTCCTGCCTCAAACTGTTTTTGTAAGAACTGAATGAAATAATGGAGGGGAAGATGCTTTGACATCACCAAAATGTTTTAGCAATGTATTTCAGTTGGAGCATGTATCTTCTGGGTGGATATAGAGAAGTTTCTGTGGGGGTCAAAGACCAATGCATTTTTAGATATTTTGATTGAATTCAACAGTCATTTATCCTAGGGTGAGAGATTGGGAATGTTGGAGATTTTGTATATATAACTAGAGGCCCATTGCAGGAAGATTCCTGCAAGATCAGGGCTTCTTCAGGCCTATTCCTGCAAGAATAGGGCTTCCTATGACTGGAACAAAGCAGAGAAGGGAGCAAAGCCCGCCTTGGCAGGCTTTGCTCCCTTCTCCACTGTCTCGCTCCCTCCTTTCTCTGCTGCCTCGCATCCTTCTCCGCCTCTCTGCTCCCTTCTGCAGCACTTGACTTCCTTCTATGCTGTCTTCAGTCTTTGCTCCATGCTCCATATTTGTTGTGTTAATTTTCATACCCACTCCTGTTTGGCTGGTGGGCATTGCGGAGGGATGGTCAATTAGCATGTTTCTCTTTTATTAGTGTGGATTGGGCTGGCTCATGAACTCCTGAGCAGATGAGCAGTAACTGGGTTTATATTGATGACATTTGGGGGGAGGATAAGAAACTATCCAGGGAGCAGGGATAATAAAAACAGCTAAGCCCTACCAGAACCATAAGGAGAGAAACTTGCCTGCCGATTCCTATGTCTCTTTCACAGTTGGTTCCAAGGTGGGTTGAAAAGGGAAGGGACAGGGGTAAGAAGGCATCATTATCTTATTTTATTTTTTGCCTCCCCAAAAAATACCCCAAAGAGAAACTGGAATTCCCTCTTCTCCATGAAAGCTAAATTCCAACATAAGAACCAGAAAGATTTTACAGTTCCCTCAGTACCAAGCCAAGAGAGGTTTTGTGTTTTGTGGTGGATCAGGGTGGGTGAACAATAGAAGCACAGATCTAATGGATACTGTTTGTTTTTTCATCTACAGGTAAATGAGCAGATGAAGCTGAGGGTGCTGGCACAGAACTCCATCATAGTCACCTTTACCTCTATGAATGAGACAGCAACACTTACTATATCGGCCAACAACTGTCCTCATGGGGTAGGGCACGATAAAAAGGTAAGGCGAAGCAGACCGGACACCCAGGTTTGACCCCATAGCATCTCAGCATGTCTTGCCACTCTACATCTCAATGTCGTTGTGCCTCCTTCCTACCTAATGGATTCCTACTCATCACACACACCTGTACCCCATGCAAGGCCCTTCCTCTTTCTCTGCCTCATAGATTCCTACTCATCATTCACTGACTGTCTTTAATACCTTGTCTGTGAAACTTCGGTCAGCTAGGAGTCTTTTAGTGTGACAGAATTCAATGCAGACTGGCCTAAGCATGAAAGGAGACTATACTGGCTCAGTAAGCTGAAGTCTGTCAATAGGCAGCTTCAGGCATGGCTGGATTCAGGTCCTCAACTGATTCCATCTGATCTTCTCACCTCTTGGCTCTGTTTTCTTAGGGAGTTTCTCTCCTTATGGTGATAAGATAGTCATGAGCATCTCCGTGTTCATCATTCTATCAGCTTTGGTCTCGCCAGGAGAACAGGGACTTCTGCTTCTCAAGTGCTCCAGTAGAAGTGCCAGTGCCAACATCATTGACTCTGTTGGATGTCCAGGCCTGAAATGTTCCCTGTGGCCAAGAGTGTATGTTGCTCTCACATGACCAGGCTCAAGTGTCATGTCCATCCTGGGAGCCATAGGGTGCAATCAGCCCCTGGTAACACCTGGGCAAAGGATGATGCATGCGTGTTTTCCTAAAGGAAAAACATGGTGCTGTTACTAGAAGAGGAAGAGATCATGCTGGACAGAATAATTGCCAACTCTGTCACCCCCCCTTATTCATCTCAGGTAGAGTCCACCTCTCTTCCTCGGCCCTCTCAGACATGACTCACCTCCATTCTAGCACTCCTTTATATACAAGCCAATCTTCTCCATCGAATTGGGAATTCCCTGTGATTTTTACTGATGCCTATTGCTTCAGGGCCCAGCACAAGGACTGCTTCAAATTAAGCACGTACTAAATATTTGTTGGGTGGTGAGAAAACAGTGTAGACTGGAAGCTCAATTCTCCCATTCATGGGGGGTCTCTCTCTCTCTCTCTCTCTCTCTCTCTCTCTCTCTCTCTCTCTCTCTCTCCATACACACACACACACACACACACACACACACACACACACACACACTACCTGTGCTGGTCATGACTCAACATTGTGGAGAAATATGGATGGAAGGGAAGAAGGAGGGGGACACAATCCCTGATTCCTGAGGTGTTTATCAGTGAAGCAGGCCACTGGAACTGCACACAGGGCAATTTTCTGGGATTGGATCACTCAGGAAGGCCCATGAAGTAGGAGCAGGAGGACCACACCTCCCAGTTTGCCCAGTCCCTCTTCACATCTGTCACTCTCTTTCACTCTCAAAAGTACCGTAGTTTGGATGATCAATTATATGGTCACACTGAGCAAGGCTCTTTCTCTGTGGGGGCACTTGCTGTCACATGCCACAGGCTCGTAGACTCTCAGAGCTGATGAAGCCCATAAGGAGGAGCCAGCCCAATATCCTCATTTTACATGGAGATACAGGAGACAGGCATGTCTTAGGGACCCATGTTATCTGCACAAAGAACACCCATGTTTCTCCTGGAGGAAAGTGTTGCACCTGTTATTTTCCATTCATTTTTATTTCCTCGGCATTTCATCTTCATTAATTCATTAACTAATTCAACAAACATTTATTAGTACCTGCAGTGTGCCAAGTTGGCTGCTGGGAATGTAAAAATGAAAGAAGTCTTATTCCCTCTACTCCCTGAAATACTTTCTAATGGAAGGACAACATCATCAGCACCAGTTGCATTCCAGCTTGATGGGTACAGGGCACCAGAGAGAGGGGCTCTGACGGAGCTGTCAGGGTTTGTTAAAGGTGTCTCATAGGAGCATCCAGGAAACTCAGTTACTTCAAAGAGCAAAATAACCCCAGATTTTGAGTTCATCTGGGCAGAGATGAACAATCATGCTTGTTGATGAGTTGATCCTATTAATTTGGTTCCATGCTAGTACTCTAAAAGTCATTGTTGTATTTCACAGAACTAAAACAAATATTTCAAAAATTTATATGAAGTCACAAAAGACCCCGAATAGCAAAAGCAATCTTGAAAAAGAAGAACAAAGTTTGAGGAATCAGTCACCCTAGCTGATATCAATCTAAACTACAAGGCCATACTAATCAAAGCAACATGGCACTGGCATAAAGACAGACATATAGATCAATAGAACAGAATAGAGAACCCAGAAATAAACCCACACTTGAAGGTCAATTAATATATGACAAAAGAGGCAAGAGCATACATTGGGGTAAAGATAGTCTATTCAATAAATGATGTTGGGGAAATTGAACAGGTACATGCAAAAAATAAAATGAAACTCGATCACCTATGCACAAGAATAAACTCAAAATGGATTAAAGACTTAAATGTAAGACCATAAAAATCCTAGATGAAAACATAAGCAGTGAAATCTCAGACATTTCTCATAGCAATATTTTTTTCTGATCTATCTCCTCAAGCAAGCGAAATAAAATGAATAAGTGGACTCCATCAAACTAAAAAGTTTTTGCACAGCAAAAGAAACCATCAACAAAATGAAAACACAACCCACTGAATGGGAGAACATTATTCTCTCCAATGATAAATCGGATAAGGGGTTAGTGTCCAAAATTTATAAAGAACTTAAACAATTCAACAACAAAAAATCCAATTAAAGAATGGACAAAGAATCTGAATAGACACCTCTCCAAAGAGGACATACAGATGGCCAACAGACATATGAAAAAATGCTCAACATCATTAATCATCAGAGAAATGCAAATTAAAACCACCTCATACCTGTCAGAACAAACAACCAGTGTTTGTGAGGATGTGGAGAAAAGGGAACCCTCGTGCACTGTTGGTAGGAGTGCAGATTGGTGCAGCCACTATGGAAAACAGTATGGAGTTTCCTCAAAAAATTAAACATGGAACTGTCTTATGACCCAGCGATTCCACTTCTGGGAATATATCTGAAGAAACCAGAAACACTAATTTGAAATCATATGTGAAGAAACACATATCACCCCTATGTTCATTGCAGCATTATTTACAATAGCCAAGATATGGAAGCAGCCCAAGTGCCCATCAGTAGATAAGTTGATAAAAAAAACAAACAAACTGTGGTACATTTACACAATGGAATACTACTCAACCATAAAAAGAAGGAAATCTTACCTTTTGTGATAGCATGGATGGACTTGGAAAATATTATACTAAGTGAAATAAGCCAGTCAGAGAAAGACAAATACCATATGATTTCACTTATACATGGAATCTAATAAACAAAATAGAAACAGATTTTGTTTCTATTACAGCTGTCAGAGGGGAGGATTTTAGGGGGCTGGGTGAAAGAGGTGAAGGGATTAAGCAAAAAAGAATTCAACTCACAGACATAGACAACAATGTGGTAATTACCAGAGGAAACAGAGGGTTGAGGGGGGGTAGATGAGAATAAAGGGAGGATAAATGGTGACAAAAAGAGGCTTGACTTTGGATGTTGAACACACAATACAATATACAGATGATGTATTATAGGATTGTACACTTGAAACCTATGTAATTTTATTAACCCATGTCACCCCAATAAATTAAATAAAAATGTAAAAATAAATAAAAGTCATTGTTAAGTGACTATGTATGAGATCACATGTTTATGTTTCTTGATAGCCTTTTTAGACTATGTAAAAAAAAAATATGAGTTTACTTATCAAAGGCAATAGATATTAGAAAATTATTCTTTCCCATAAAATTGCAGTAATGCCTTATTTGCCTGGCAACCTCTTGTCTGATAATCTCTGAAGTTTGGAACACAGCTGAGAACCAGGTCATAAGGAGCTAAAGACTCTCATGAAGAGCCAAGAGAAATCACTCTAAGTCCATGAACTAAACATGCCCACCCATCAGGTCTATGAAAGACCCTTAGTAATTCAGCACTGATTTTTTTTTCTTACCTAAATGCAATCTTAGCATGCTGGGACTAGAAATCCAAAGCTGTGATATCCATTATGGTAACCACAAGTTGCAAATGGCTATTGAGCAATTGCAATGTGACAAGTCTAATGGAGATGGACCATAAGTGAAAATACATGCTGCGTTACCAAGACAGTATGAAAAGACAATGTAAAATTTTTCATTAATTATTTATTTTGGTTCCATGTTGAAATAATCATAAATTTTATATAGTGGAGTAGATAAATGTTACTAAAATTAGTTCTACCTTTTAGGAATGTTTTTCTTTTAATCCTCACCAGAGGATGTTTCCATCCCCCCTCCCCTTTTTTTTAGAGAAAGTGGAAGGGAGGGAAAGAGGGGAAAGAGAGAGTTAGAAACATTGATGTGTGTGAGAGACAGCAATTGGTTGTCTCCTGCACAAACCCTGCATGGGACCAGGAATAGGACCTGCATCTCAGGTACCTGTCTTTGACTGGGAATTGAACCCAAGACCCTTCAGTGCATGGGCTGATGCTCTAACCACTTTGAAACACTGGCCAGGGCTTAAGAAAGTTTTTAACGTGGATGTTTCAAACTGCTCATGTAGCTTGCATTATATTTCTACTGGACCTTGTGGGGTCCGGGAAGTGGAGTGTTTGTAAAGGAAGCTCCCAGAGGCATTGACAGTGCAGTAGAGACTGGAGAGTTACTGAAGAGGCATCTAACCATCTTGGGGACATTTAACGTAGAGATAAGCAGACATTAAAGCAGCTTCTGAAAACAGAACTGCATTCTAGACAACAATCGTTGGTGTCAACCAAGAAGGTTGACTTGCCAGAAAGCATCCAGCTCATAATCCCTTCTGTTTTAAAGCACAGGGAGGTGCAGTATATATTACTACTCTCTAACCAGACAACAGCAAATGAAGGAAGACCAGATTTATTGTAGGTAACAGGATTTACAAACATTACCTCAACTGCCAGGTTAAGCATCTCAAAATATTTTTACATGAAATCCTTGAGACTCAGAGAATTGCCTCCTTTTGGATTATTGGACCATGCCAGCTGCAAGAAGTCCTAGAGAAAATTTACTGAGTGTGGGGGCTGGCAAAGAGCTTCGGCTAGGAATGCAAGGCCTCCGTGTTCCCATCTGTATCATGATGTGTAAAGGTCCACCCAGCTTTCACACACTGAACTCCAGTGTGTGTGTGTGTGTGTGTGTGTGTGTGTGTGTGTGGTTTGGGACTAGTTATCACTCATCAACAAAATCCATGGCAGTCTAGGAAAACTGAGCTGAGGCTGGGGGGTAGGGCGGCAGCCTCCTTCCAAGTCCCTGTCACTGGGACGCTTGTCAGATGGCTTCCCCAGGCGCCCATCTCCCTGGAAGAAGACCAACGGTTTCCTCTTTTACGGCCCTGCGCCTGGCCCCTCACTAAATATCTCTATTCAGGCAGCACTTTGAAAGCGAGGCAATGCTTCAATTTAAATGCTTTATTAGCCCAGAGTGCTGCCTCAAATCCTTTTTGGAAGCAAGCTGGGTATAAATTACAAATAAATAAATAAAATTAGCCCAGAAGCAGCAGCTGGGGCCAGCTGTTGGAAGGATGGCTGAGGTTTTGCCATTAATTGGGGCATCCTTTACCGAAGTCCTGCCTGCAGGGGAGAGGAGGACATGTGGGCTGACTTCATTGTTCTTCAGAAAACCTGCCCAGTGCCCACCCCACTCCCTCCACCAGAGGCTTCAATTCCACAGAAGAGAATCTCTCACACGTTTTCCGTGTTAAGTGAGAGATGTAGAGAGCGTGATTTCTGCCTTTAAGGGGCTGACCGAGTTAAGGATAAAGAAGGTAAAAAATGACTGGGACCCAGGGCAGGAAACACAGGAATGAACAAATGTGCACATTTAGCATGGAGAGCAATCGCAGCTGGCCGAGGAAAGCAGCAGAGGCCGCCTGGAGAACAAGTCAAACCCTGGCTGCCATGAACTGGAACCTGAGCCTGGTTCTGCAGCACCATTCTGATGCTCTAGCAGAGGGACTGGTTGAACTGCAGGGCCGCCCCAGCAACTACCTTGCCACCTCACAGGGGGCCCCAGAGCCAGATGGCCCTTCAGGGTAACCTAGAATTGGGGCAGGAGGCCTGGGCCTTTGTGCTCTTAGGTACCAGTCAATCTATGTAACTCTGGCTAAGGGCAGTTTTTCCAGCTGAGATGCTCTGACAGTTGGAGGGAGGAAGAGGATTCTAGGGGTGCACACAGAGGCGGACTAACTCCAGAGAGACCTTTTTCCATCATTTTTCACCATGCAAGTATTAACTGAACACCTTCGGCATAATGGGCCTCTGACACAAAGGAGACCAAGACTCAGTCCCTGTCCTCCAGAATCTTACAATTCAGCAATGGAGACAGGTTCAGGTGCATTCACTTCATAAAGGGCTAACCTCTGACTTCAGGCTGCTGCTGCTGGAGGTCCAAGGCAAGGAGCAGTTCTGCCCAATAGAATCAGGGAAAATGTTCCAGGAGGGGCCCTTCGAGTCAGGTTGGGTTGGTATGCAGGTATTCACTGGGCTGAGGGGGAGAGAGATGTGTCTTAGAGGCGACAGAACATCCTCAAAGTCAGAGCAAGGCCTGGTTGTCACTGGTCTGAGCAGATGGCCCCTGGCAGGACAGGTGACAATGCCCTCCCCTTGATCTCTCCGCAGATAATACACAGGGTCATCAGCATGGACGACAAGTTGTCTAAGATGAGCCGAGCCCTGGCAGAGATCAAGAAACGGTTTCAGAAGACAGTGTCTCAGTTCATGAATTCTGTCTTACTGGCAGCAGGTAAGGGGCAGAAAGGGGGGTGACAGCCTGTCCGTCCGATGGCTTTTCAAATCCTGAGTTACCTGCAGATTGTCTCCAAGGATAGCTCTTTACCACCCCAGGGAGGTGGGCATGACAGGGAGATTTCCCCATTGGTAGATGGAATTCCTGGATGCGGAACGCCGAAGGGACTTACTCATCACCACACAGCTACTAATGGTGACCTGGGCCACCCTCCATCTTTGAGTGTTTTCCCATGTGTCTTTAATGTCTCCATATGATTATCTTATTTCTCTGGGTCTCATCATTTTTCTGTATGTGTCTCTGTCCCCACTCTCACACCTGGTTCACCTTTTAGCTCCATCTACTATCTATCCCTTTGTAGCCCCTTCCTCTCTCTTTGGTATAGATCTCTGCAAAAGAGAAAAAGCAGCCACCTCACCAGGCTGTCCTGTTAGGCCCACAGAGCTCCCCAGGGCCAGCATGGGGAGCCTCAAGAAACCCTTCCACATCTGGTCTCTTTGCCCTGCTGATGAGCCTGGGGACAAAAGGACATAGACACACCCACCCACCCACACCACTCCATGACACCCCCAGACTGGGCATGGAGATCTGTGCTCTCCCCGTGGCCTCCCTGGGGTATTTCTCCTCACCCCTGAAGACTCAGTTCCACTGTGCCTCTTCTCTGGAAAGCCCCTGATTCCCCCAGCGAAGGGGGCACACACTCCTCTGGGCTCCACAGCACTTTATGTGTGCTCTGGTAAATCTTACAACCTAGCATTGTGAATATTTCTGTTTGCCCACCCCTCCTATACTGCCACTGGGAGTTTCCAGAGGCAGGGAAGCAGTTTTGAGTGATCTCTCTATGCCCAGCACCCAGCATTCAGTAAATGGTAAGTGAATGAGAGATCCTTGGCCTCAAAAGTTTTCCAGTCTAGTAGGGAAAGTATAATAAGAACACCAATAAACGCAATGTAACAACAACAACAACAACAACAAAAAAGTAGATGGAAATTACTTAAATCTGGAGACACAGGAATAGCATCCTCAGGGAAGGGAACAACATGGATGTATTTGTACCCAGCCTCTGCACTGATTGCTGTGGCGGTCTCAAAGCTGATAAAACACAGGCTCAATTCAGAGAAGAGGGATCTAAGCTGGGTATGGATGAATGAGTGGGAAATGGGATTGATTCGTTCTTACATTCAGCCAGCATTGACTGATGTGCTAACTGTGCTAGGCTTGGAGCACTGTGCCAGACAACAGAGGGCAGGCAGCTCAGCAGAAGAATCTACAGGAGTGAAGGAGTGGAGAGGGAGAAGAGCTGAAGGGTTCCCACATGCAGAGCCTTACAGCAATGAGTAACAGCAGTGTCTTCTGTTAACAGGACTGCTCACCATAGAATATCCAGCAAGGGGTCTGGGAGAACTAAATCGAAGCAAAATGAAATCCTGGACCTTTTCCGAGCGGGTCAGCAAGCTAAATCAATATTCAGAAATCCTTGCATCACGTAATCAGTCAGCCCCACCTGAATCCTCGGCTTTCGAGACTCCGAAGGAAGAGCCTGTGTCTGCTCCAATAATCCCCACTCAGAAGAAGACCTTCAAATTACAAGCCAAAGCCCTGGCCACTCTCAGGTGGGCTTGAGCCTTCATTTCCTCTAGCTTCTGTGTGCCAGATGCTCGCGTGCGTGGTGGACACACTGGATGAGAAAATAGATGAGGCCTCTCCCTCTCAGAGCTGGAATTCTCCGGGTGGGCAAAGATAGAAGGTAAACACATGAATCACTGACGTCATTTCGATGGTGAGAAGGCTAGGAAGAAAAGAATTCATGTAAAGCAGAGATTGGCAATTTAGGGGCCATGTGTAAATCTAGTCCCGCTGCCTGCCTTTTTAATGGGTGAGCTTAGAATGTTTTTTGTTTTTTTTTATGTATTTAAAGGCTGGGGGGTGGGGGATCAAAAGGAGAACTTCTCATGACATGTGAAATGATATGAAATCTGAATATGAGGTCAATAAGTAAGGTTTTCTTGGAACACGGCCACACCCACTCATACACATATTACCTATGGCTGCTTATCCTGCTAGGACAGAAGTCTTGAGTCTTTGTGACATACCAGTAGTCCATCTGGCCTGCAAAGATGAGAACATTTGCACTGTGGCCCTTTATAGAAAACATGGACTAACCCCTGCGATAGAGAGTGCCTAGGGAATGGGGTGGGATGTGCTACATTAGGTAGACAGGTCAGGAAAGGCAGTCTGGAGGAAATGATGTTTAACTGGAGACCTGAAGGATAAGAAATAGGCAGCCCCAAAAAGGGGCGAGGAAGGAACCTCAGGCAAAAGAACCTCAGAGCAAGTACGAAAGCCCTGAGACAAGAATGAGTTTGGTACGTGTGACTGAAAGTAAAAAGACCGGTGTGGAGCCTCATGGTGAAGAAGTGAGAGTTATATGAATTGAGGACAGAGAGATAGGCAGGAGCCAGATAAATACACTTGTTACTGTTATAGGAAGTCATTCCATTACTTTAAGATGTGACATCATCTGACTTAGGGATTAAAAAATATATATATACAGTTTTAAACCCCAGCCAGTGTTGCTCAGTGGTAAACATTGACCCAGGAAGCAGCAGGTCACGGTTTGATTCCTGCTCAGGGTACATACCCAGGTTGTGAGCTCAGTCCCCAGAAGGTAGCATGTAGGAGGCAGCCAATCGATGATGTTTCTCTCCAATAGATGTTTCTATCTCTCTCTCAAATCAATAAAAATATAAATTTTTTTAAAAAGGTGACATTTTCATAAAGTTGTAGAGAAGGTGAGAAAGTGCGTTGTGTGGCTATCTGGGGAAAGAGCCAAGCAGGCAGAAGGCACAGCAAGAGCAAAGATCCTGAGGTTGGAGGATAAGCACAGGCCTAAGTGGCCAGAACTCAGTAAGCAAAGGTGGGAATATTGGAGAAGAATAAGAGAAGCAGCCCTAACCAGTTTGACTCAGTGGATAGAGTGTCGGCCTGCTGACTGAAAAGAACTGGGTTTGATTCTGGTCAAGGGCATGTACCTTGGTTGTGGGCACATCCCCAGTAGAAGTTGTGCAGGAGGCAACTGATCAATATTTCTCTCTCATCGATGATTCTAACTACCTTTCTCCCTTCCCCTCTGTAAAAAATCAATAAAGTATATTTTAAAAAAGAATAAGAGAGGTAAATGGGGAAAGGCAGGGGGGACAGATCATGTACAGCCTCAAAGGACTCTGCAGGGATTTTGGCTTTTATTCTATGATAGGTGGAAAGCCACTGGAGGGTTTCAGAATAGTGACATGATGTGACTCAGATTTTTTTTTTTTTTTACTTGCAATTGTATTACTTTATTTCATATTTTTATTTATGCATGCATTGATTGATTCTTTTTTTTTTCTTTATTGATTAAGGTATTACATATGTGTTCTTTTCCCACCATTCATGCCCTCACCCCCCTGGTATCTGTGTCCATTGATTAGGCTTATATGCATGCATACAAGTCCTTTGGTAGATCTCTCCCCCTTCCCCCTCCCCCCCATCCTCTACCTTCTCTCTGAGGTTTGATGGTCTGATCAATGCTTCTCTGTCTCTAGATTTGTTTTTGTTCATCAGTTTTGTTGTTCATTATATTCCACAAATGAGTGAGATCATGTGATATTTATCTTTCTCTGTCTGACTTATTTTGCTTAGCATAATGCTCTCCTATTTATGCTGTTGCAAATAGTAAGAATTCCTTCTTTTTACAGCAGCATAGTATTCCATTGTGTAGGTGTATCACAGTTTTTTAATCCACTGATCTGCTGATGGCCATGTAGGCTGTTTCTAAATCTTAACTATGGTAAATTGTGCTGTTATGAACATAGGGGGGCATATATCCTTTCTGATTGATGTTTCTAGCTTCTTGGGATATATTCCTAAAAGTGGTATTACTGGGTCAAATGAGAGTTCTATTTTTAGTTTTTTGAGGAAACTCCGTACTGTTCCCCACAGTGGCTGCACTAGTCTGCATTCCCACCAGCAGTGCACGAGGGTTCCTTTTTCTCCGCATCCTCTCCAGCACTTGTCATTTGTTGATTTGTTGATGATAGCCATTCTGACAGGTGTGAGATGGTACCTTATTGTCATTTTGATGTTATCACCGATAAGGGTTTAATCTCCAGCATTTACAGAGAACTCATACAATTTAACAAAAGGAAGGTGAACAACCCAATAAAAAAAATGGGCAATAGATACTTTTTGAAAGAGGATATAAGGAAGGCCAAGAGACATATGAAAACATGCTCAAAGTCACTAAATCATCCAAGAAATGCAAATCAGATTTTTAAAAAATATTTTTTTAAAATTTATTTCAGAGAGGAAGAGGGCGAGAGACAGAAACATCAATGATGAGAGAGAGTCATTGATCGGCTGCCTCCTACACACCCCCGACTGGGGATCCAACCCACAACCCGGGCATGAGCCCTTGACCGAAATCAAACCCAGGACCCTTCAGTCCACAGGCCAACTTTCCATCCACTGAGGGGCTGCCTCTTTCTTGAGTGGAGAGCAGACAGGCTTGCTGATGGGTTGAATAGGACATGGGGTGAGAGAAAGAAAGGAGTTCAGGATGACTACAAAGCTTTTGTTGGATGGATGAACACCTGAGTTGCTTATTACTTGAGGAAACAGGCCCAGCAAGATTAGGGGACCCATTCAAGGTGGTGCTGCAGGGAGATAAGGGGGCATGTCGGTGGTGGAGGCCGGGGTTGAACTGCCTGCAGACTAGACTCCACAGCAGCGGGGCCTTTGTCCACGTGGAGTCAGGGCCCACTGAGCGCCTGCCCACTTGCTCCTTGCAGGGGGAGGGCCACGGAGATGCGCAGCCACACGAGGTGGGCAGCCTCACCCTCTGACTGCCCACTGGTGCTGCGGAAGCTCATTTGTAAGGAAGACATCCGCGCTGGCTGCAAGTGCATAGTGAAGCCACCCCTGGTATCTGATGTGGAGCTGGAGCGCTTCCTGTCGGCGCCCCGTGACCCCAGCCAGGTGCTGGTGTTCGGAATAGTGTCCAGCCACATTCCTGCCAGCTCAGGACAGCTCAATTGGATCCTCAACACAATCTACTGTCACCGGCAGCAGGGCCGTGCCTCACCCTGCATCCAGGTGGGTCCTGGGCCCAGCAGAGGAGTCCCCAGTGTCTGGAGGTGGGGAGGGGGTGGGGGAGGGCTACAGCTGGCTGAGTACTGGCTAAGAGATTGCCTCTTCATCTCGGCACAGGATCCTCCTTCACTTCCTTTGCTCCTTGGGTGGCCTTTGCACACACTCTTCCTACTGTTTGCCGTGGTTCTCTCCTGTTCATCCCCCTATCCCAGGACGAATGTCACCACATCAGTTGGTTGCCCTTTCTGACCTTGAGACAAAGTCAGGCCCTGTTGTTTTCTTGCAGAGCACACACCACAGTTTGTGGTCATGTGCTGGCGTATTTAAAGCAGAGCCACACTCACTTCTAGATCCTCAGGGCTAAGGAATGGTTGTAGTACCTACTGTGTGCTGGTCTTGTGCAGGTCTCTGCTCCATGTTGATTGTGACACAGCCCTGGAGGGGCACCCAACATGGTGCGGCTGTAACTACAGCAAGCCCCAATGGGGACCGTGAAAGGACAGCTCTAGGCAGGTGGGAACTGGGGAGCAAAAGAACCCCCTTCCGCTCTCAAGGGTCTGGGAGAGCCCCCCAGGATGAAAGCGTTTGGGCAGGTGGGTGAGTGGTTCTGGCAGAGGCAGTGGCCTGTGCCAAGGCGAACAGGGGAAAGACCGCTCGAGGTCCCAGTTCATCGTGGGCGGGCCAGTCAGGAACACATGGAACCACCTGCCTCCTTGCTGCAGAGTCATTTCTAAATCTCACCAGCCATTCCAGCAGTGTTGGCACAGTTCAATGGTGGCCCTGCCCCCAGACCACCTGGAGCAGAGGATGCCACCTGAGCCCAGAGCTATGTGTCCACGTGGTGCCTTCCTTCAAACTCTCTTCGTCTTGGTGCCTCTCAAATCTACTGTCTTCACCCATCTTCCTTTGGCTGCAGCCCTTAATTCTGATTTTCGTGAATACCCTAGGGACACCCTCTCAAGCCCTCCTCCCAGGACTGGCCCCGACATACCCACCCTCAGACCTGCACTCCAGCCAGTGCCAGGAGCTTGGCATTGGAACCCTTCGGATCAGACTCCAAAAGGCTTTTTAATACATCAAAGCCACATGTGTTTTAAGCTTAGAATTGACTTCAGTTTATTTCAGGGCTATTCATTGTTCACTAATAATTATCCATAAGCACAGAAATGCATGGTGGTGCCGCCCAGCCATGAGCAGCATAAACAGTGTCATGCTGCTGATAGACGGGCAGCAGGATGGAGGAATGCAGAGAGCAGGCCTGGAGGGTGTTTTCAGATTGTACTGCCTCTGGTGTCCCCCCCACCCCCACTCAGTGTCTTAAGACAGAACCCTTTCCTGATGTTCTCTCGCTCTGATAGCTAGAACACAAGGTGTGGGTCCAGGCAGATAAATCCAGAAAGTATCACATTGGCGTTATTAATGGATCCATAGCATCCAGAAAGAAGGAGGAGAAAGAGATCAGCTTTACTTTGGATTGACCAGACCTCAAGATTTGGGTTGAATTCAGTGGTTTAATGACTGGGAGGTGTCCAGTAGGCATCCAGCAGGGAGGCAGGGGGCAGAAGGATCCTGGAAATGGGTATGCCATTCCCACCTTCAAATCTCCACACGGGGTCTCTCAGAGGGGACAGGAGCATCCCAGAGACTCCAGAGTGGATGTCACATGGCGGGGCAATCATTTCTGTGACAGCTTTCACCAATAGTGGGCCCTAAGTGGATCTGGGACATTTTCTGGGGTGCCATGAGTAGGGGGAGAAAAGGGGTATTGTATGGGGCTCCAGAACTCAGTGGTAACCGATCTGGCTGAGAACGCAGGAATCTGAGCGCATCCCCATGGCATGGAGGTGACGGGCATTCGTTCTCTTGGCAGTGCCGGCATGACCCCTACCGCCTGCTGCGGTATGACCTGGACAGCCCCCTGCAGAAGGACCCGCCCCTGCTGGTGAAGAAATACGCTGTGATGCAGGGGATGGTTCTGGTGAGCTGGAGCCCCTACTCTTGTGGAGGCACAGATGTGGGAGGGGGTTTTCTCCCACATGCCCCCAATCCCAGGAGACTGAAGGGGCACTTAGCTGGAAAGTCAAATTCTCTTCTGTTTGTTTATTTTAAATAACTTTTTGCTTAAAACATACACAGGGTAGGAGAAAAGTAGGCTTATAGTTGTTTGTAAAAAAGAATACGCTAGGCCCTGGCTGATGTGGTTCGGTGGTTAGAGTGTCAGCCCAAATCCAAAGGATTGTGGGTTCAATTCCAGGTCAAGAGCACTTACCTTGGTGGCAGGCCAGGTAGGAGGCAACCAATCAATGTGTGTCTCTCACATCAACGTCTCTCTTTCTCTCTCCTTTCCCTCTCCCTCCCTTCCACTCTCTCTAAAAATCAATAGAAAAAATATCTTCAGGTGAGAATTAACAAACAAAAACCACAATAATTAGTAAATAATATGATAATTAATAAATTATACAAGAATAAGCTGGATTTTTTAAAAATATTTTTTATTGATTTTTTACAGAAAGGAAGACAGAGGGATAGAGAGTTAGAAACATCGATGAGAGAGAGTCATCGATCAGCTGCCTCCTGCACACTCCCCAATGGGGATGTGCCTGCAACCAAGGTATATGCCCCTGACCGGAATCGAACCCGAGTCCCTTCAGTCCGCAAGCCGACACACTATCCACTGAGCCAAACCAGTTTCGGCTAAGCTCTATTTTATGTACTCACAACTGTAAACCTACTTTTGCCCCACCCTTTAAATTCATGGGGGAAATTTGAAAGATACAATTTAGAATATTATTACTTCATCATATCACCCAGATTGCCTCCTCTGTTACACAAGTGTGTGCCCGCACCTATGAGAGGCCCTGGATGATGCTAATGCTAATATTTTGGTATCTGGCCTTTTTACTCTTTCTCTGATTTGAGGGTTCTGTTATTTAATTTAAAATGATATGAATATTAAAAACAAAAGGTTTTGAAGATTTTCCCATGTCTTAAAATAGTTTGTGACACCTGATTTTTAACTGATGTGTAAGAATCTGTCATTTTAGTTTTTCTATCTGTGCTGCTTTTGGGGGTCCTTTTTAGGTTATTTCCTTTTTTTGTGTGTGTGTCTATTTTTTGTTCATGGCAAGTAACTAATGATATCCATACTAATGAATATCCATGCACAGAAATCTTTGTAGGAGATTGACATGTAGAAGGTGGGGGCATAGAGAGCCATAGGGCAAGATCCGTGCCCTCAAGGGGCCCCTATCCCCTGGGACCAGCCGGTCAGTGTATCAGAGCGGGAGTGAGGCCAGGAGCAGGAAGACTCCCGCTGGCCTCTGAGTCCTGGGAGGTCTTGTATGTGAAGTGACATTTGAGCTGGTCCATCTGGCGGAGGGAAGAGGCTGGGATGATGGGCTTGTGACCCGGGGGACTCGGACAGAGGACAGGCTCAGCCACACCTCAGTGGGAGAGGTGGGAAGCACAGCACCTCTTCCCTGGCACCAAAGAGAGGCCCGGATTCTGGCACAGGCTCCGAGGGCTGGGCACTGTCCGGAGACGCAGTGCTGATGTGCCGAGGGCCTCTCCTTTGTTTCCTTCCTGTCTGTCAGCAGATGTTCGCCGGGGGGAAGCTCCTTTTTGGGGGCTGCGTTTTGAATGGATACGGCTTCAGCAAGCAGAATCTGATGAAGCAGATCTTCCAGGCTCGGCACGACTGCAAGATGGGCTACTTCATGCCAGAGAACTACAAATTTAGGTACAACGGGAAAAACTCAAACTCAGGAAGGATGGCAGCGGGCCAGGGTGTGGAGTGTGTGGGGCAGTCTGCGCTATGGAAGGGGCACTGGTGAGCCAGGGGAGTGAGCTGAGGATGGGTCTGCGGTAGACGCTGGCCCGGAAGGACTTTGCAGGTGGGTGGGCGGGGACGAGAGCAGGCCGTGAGGGGTTGCGCCAGGCCGTGCAGCTGGCTTCTTCGGGACACAAGCCTTGGAAAGGGGCCCTCTTGGAGAAGGAGGGACACAGAATCATTTGCCCAGGGCTGGTTTCTGTAGGGAAATCGTGCAGACGGGCATTTGGGTAGGGTCCCTAGTGACACCCCCGCCTTCTGTCCCACTGCACCCAACTCCATCCTGTGTGTGATCCAAGTCCTGCCTCTGCTTTGTTTGCTGGCAGGGCCACAGGCAAGGGCCACTCCTGGAGTGATCTCAGGTCCTTGTAAAAGGAATCGGGGTGGCCTCGCTGAAGTCTGCCTCTCGGCCTCCGAGCTCTGGCTTTCCGACGAGGTGATGCCCATTACAGCGCATAACTGGGGCCCAGCCTGGGTGAGATGTACAAACATAGGTCTCTGGACTCAAAGCATATAGCCTGGTCCGGGGAAGGAGCCTGGCTCTTGGCATTGCTGAAGGCTGTCTGCGGAGAACAGAGCGGATTCTGGAATGCCTGGGCCCTGCGGCGAGCAGAAACCTGACTGGGTCAGGGGTCCTGTGATGAGGCTGGAGCCCCTGCTCTGCTCTTCTCCATCTGGGTGACCCTGGCTGATCCATTTGCCTTCCTAAGCCCGCTTTCCTCCCCTTAAAATGAGGTGATGATGCCCACCTCACCGGGTTGCTGTGGAGATCTTCTGAGCGTACTGGTATGTTTGCTGGAGTGCCTCGTACACCTGTGTGCAGACATAGGCCTGCTTCTGATTGCACCCCCACTGCACTGAGTTAGGCATCCCCCGCTCCCACAAGGCCCCTCAGCTTTCTAGGAGTCCTGACTCCAGTCTCTCCTTCGTGTGCAGAGTTTGGGGCTTGTCAGAACGTCTGGCTGACCCGAAAGAGGTTTGGGGGAATTCGTTCCCGAGAAACTGTGGAGGTTACACCATGACCCCAGCATCCTGGAATGCTTTAGTGGAGGAGGCAGGGTCAGAGGAGGCTATGGAAGTTAGGAAGGTGCAGAGAGGAAAGCTACGGAGAGCCTCAAGGCTTTGCTCACTCTGTCCTCAGGGACCTCTCAGCTCCAGCAAAAGAGGCATCAAGCCAGGCCCTGGGAAGAGAGTGAGTCTGTGTGTGCACAGGGACAGGGCATGGCAGAGCTGACCCTTGAACCTCCCTGTCCTAAGCGGCCTCCCCACCTCCACACCCAGGTAGTTATCCCTACCGCCATGGCAGTTCCCAACAAGCTTGGTTCAGCTCCAGAGTTTTGTGGCACTGTGAGAGCCTGCTCCCGACCTGCTCTGGTCAAGCCACCCTGTTAGGAGAGCAAGAGGGAGGGAGGGAGGGAGGGAGGGAGGGAGGGAGGGAGGGAGGGAGGGAGGGAGGGAGGGAGGGAAGGAAAGAGAGAAACATGAATGTGAGAAAGAGACATCAACTGGTTTCCTCCCCTGTGTGCCCCTACTGGGATTGGAGATCAAACCTGCAACCGAAGTACATGCCCTTGACTGGGAATTGAACCCACGACCCCTCATTCCGCAGACAAACACTCCATCCACTGAGCCAAACCAACCAGGACACTCATCCTCACATGGCGTTCCCCTAGTGCATGTCTGTGTCCACATGTCCCCCTTTTTATAAAGACAACAGGGATGTTAGATTGAGGCCCACCCTACTCTGGTACGACTTCTCAACTCACTACATCCGCAGTGACCCTATTCCCTATATCTTGGGGAACTAGGGGTTAGGATTCCGGTATATGAGTTTGGGGGGGATACAATCCATAGCATTGTACATGATGCCTTATTTCCTTGGCTTCCTGTTCTCTCCTTTGCTCGTTTGATGGTCAGGCAGGGTACAGGTGTTGCGGGCATGGCGTTAGGGCAATTCCAATCAGAAAAAGAAGCCAGGGAAGCCAACCCCAGTGAATCTCTGGGTCCCCAGGGGTCAGGTCTCCCTTCACTCTTCCTCTGGAGAAGCACCTGCGCCCTTTTCTCTCTAGGAACTGGAACATTGGGGGAGGGGGTCAGCTCTGAGTGAGGGCTGCCTGCCCAGGCACCCCCAGCTCCGAACCCCCTCTGACTGGGCCTCTACTGAGCACTGCCCTCCCCTCCCCACCTCCCCGCAGCGTTTTACCCTCCTTCCTGGGCCTGGATGACACGGACTCAGACAAGAGAACAGTCATGGAAGACGCCCAAGGAAGCATCTCCTCGTTGACCATAGGGGACAAGACGGAGGACTATTTCCCTGAACCTGAGAAGAAGTAGGTGGTCTCCCAGCCCGGGGGGCTGAGGGACCCTCTTGTGGTTGGCAGAATAGGCATGGCTCCCAGAAGCCACAGGGGGTTAAGTGACCCCGCGAAATCACATCTCTGACCTCTGACCTCTTTTATCAACGTGCTGCCCAGTTGCTCTGGTCTGGTTGGCGGAGATGGAAGCCTTTAAGCTTGTGGGAAACCCCACACCCAGACCCGTTTGTCCGTCCGAGAGGGTGGAGGCCGCAGGCTGTCTTCCTGCATAAACTTCCCAGACCTGTCAGGTCCACTGACTTGGCCGTGTTCACTGTGAAGCGAATCACGTGCTCTGCAAGAGCGTGAAAAATCACACGCTTCTCATGAAGACAGAAACACAGAACTGCGAGCACCTGGAGAAGCCACAGGTGCGCTGGGACCCCAGGTTGGAGCGATGCCCAGAGGACCTCAGCTGTTCAAGGTGGAGGTCAGGCTGGCCTCGCCCCGGGCCAGCGCAGGGATCAAGCACCGTCCAGACCAGCCCGCTCCGCCCGTTTCCCGGCACTCGCTTCTCTCTATTTTGATTTTTAGGATGAAACAGCCTGGCGTGGATCTGCATCCTGTCATCCAAGGCAGGACGGACAGTAAGAAGAAGCCGGCCTCCAAGAAGTGATGCAGGCCCCTTGACCACCAGAGTGCCAGGCCTGGATGAGGCTCCTCCCTTGCCCACCCTGCCCTGCCCCCACCCCCTTTCTCTGAGCCTCTATGTAATAAACAAGCATGCCTCCAGCATCTGGGTGAGGCCACGGGCTAGGCTGGCCCTAAAGGCCAGAGGCCCCCAGCAGCCGGGTTCCAGGTCCAGTCCTTGGAAACTGGGTGCTCTGACCCAGAGCCGTTTCCGTGGCCGGTGAAGCAGCCTGGATTCTCCTGCTCCCAAGGAAACCAACCTGATCAGGGGGCCAAGCCAAATGAGACATGACCATGGGAGGTCTGGGATGGGACTAAACTCTGCCCTTCTCCCTGTCACTGGTTAGGAATGCCTCAGGTTCTGGTTCAAGTGGACAACAGGGTGTGAGAGCGAAGAGGGAGAGGGGAGAGGGGAAGAAAAAAAGCAGAGCAGAAGGAGACAACGCTAAGGGAGAGACAGGAGAGAGATGATGAGAAGGGAGAGCACAGAAGGGGGGGTTGGGGGAGAGGGAGCCGAGTGGGAGGTGGGAGGGAAGAAGAAATGAGGGAGGAGGGAGAATAAAGGGCAGATGGAGAGAGGAGGAGCAGGCCCTGGAGTAGGACAGAAGAGGCAGTGACAGGCCACACCCAGGAACCCTGTGGTGGCTCCTGAAAAGCCAGAGCCCCTGTGGCCCATCTAGCCCACCCTCATGACCCAAGCCAACAGGCCTGAAGCATCCTTACCAGCCTCAGGGGCCCAGAGGAGCAGCCTGTTGGTGTGCTGAGGCCTCCCTGGGGGCACCTGCTCTGGCCCCTGCTTGTCTGCGGCTCTTCCCAGGAGCAGAGTGAGGACCCTGGAGCGTCCTCCTTGTTCTCCGGGCCCGGAAGAGAGACTTCAGGCCTGAGCTGTGGGTGGCCTTCAGTGACACGCTCTATACTTGACTACTTGTGTTCCCTTTTGTAATCGATGCTTTTTAAATCTGAATTTTTGAGGTTTAGTTGTTTAAAATTTACCTTTATTGTTGAAAGTGTTATAGATGCCCCCCCCCATTACCCCCCTCCACCCTGCACCTGCCCCCAACATTTGTATCGTTGAAAGGCTTTTTTTAAAATTATACATTTGTCCCCTGGTAATGGATTTGAAATGACGTACTATGTTCTTAAGCCTGCGTCCTTTGATACTTCGGGGTCCTGAGCGTCTAACCTCTCTCCCGTTCTCCCCTTCTGAGCACAAGGACACACAGAATTGGAAGGAAGGGGAAGCAAGGTGCACCTCTGTCTAGTCAGCCTCCGCATACTGGATTTACGTGTATACGCTGTCGATGAGGTCTGGGAAGCCCAGGGAGTGGCCTGGCAGGAGCAGATACAAATCTTCTCTGAAGGTGTTTACTCTCAACCCAGACCTAATAGGATTCCCACAGAGGGAGCACAGTTGAATGTTAGCTTACAATCCAAAATTTAAAAAGACACATCAAAGTGAATGAAAACAGATATCAAATATTAAATTAAACATACAAGACTTTGGATATTGGAATTGTCAAGCACAATGTAAAGTGAATGTTTTTAGGGGTTAAAAAAAAAAAAAAAACACACAGAAGGATTTGAAAACATAAGCAAAGAACAAGATGTTACCAAGCAAGAAAGATATAGACTGAATTTCGCTTCCAGACATATTGGGGTAACTGGGACTGGAGTGTCCTCCTCACACAAACAACCAGGGAAGAGAAGCAGAGTGTGTTCTGTAATCCCTCCAGCTTTCTGCCAGACATACTTTCTGGGTCATGATGTGGAGAAGGAGAGTTCAAGCACAGAATGGAGTATTGCTAAACTGGGGAGACGGATCAGAGTTTGGAGAGACAGCAGTCAATAGAATCTGTGGAGCAGAGCATCAGAGAAGAGGGAGCTTTGCAGAGAGAAGTCGAAATTTGCAAAGGGATCTCCTCGAGTCTTTGGCTGCAGGCTAAACTGCACATGTTTAGGGTGTGACTTGGAGATTCCCACAGGTAAAAGAATGAAGTTGGACCCTTTCCTAACACCACATACAAAAGTTAACATCAAATGGATCAAGAACCAAATGTAAGACCTAAAACAATGAAACTCTTAGAAGAAAACAGGACAAAAGTATAGTGACATTGGATTTGGCTGTGATTTAATGGACATGACACACAGGCACAGGCAACAAAAGAAAAAATAGATAACTTTTTGGTCTTGATGAACATTTTAGAAATGTGTGCATCAGAAGACACTATCCAAGGAATAAGAAGGCAGCCCACAGAATGGGCAAACATATTTGAAAATCATATGCTGATAAGGGATTAATAGCCAGAATATATAGAGAAATTCTAAAACAACTTAATGCAAAACTGGGCAAAGAATTTGAATAGTCATTTTTCCAAAGAAGATATACAAAAGTGGCCAATAAACACATGAAAAAATGCTCAATGTCAGTAGTCAGTAAAGAAATGTAAATCAAAATTACAATGAGTTACCATCTCACACCCATTAGGATAGCTACTATCAAACAGAAAATAGCAAGTGTTGGTGAAAATGTGGAGACAATGGATTCTTGTGCACTGTTGGTGGGAATGTAAAATAGTAAGCTGCTGTGGAAACCAGTATGGGGGGTTCCTCAAATAATTAAACGTAGAATTACTATATGACCCAGCAATCTCAATTGTAGGCACCCAAAAGAATTAAAGGCAGGGTCTCAAAGAGATATTTGTACACCCATATTCATAGCAACATTATTCACAACTAGAGACTCGGTGCACAAAATTCATGCAATGGCCTTGGCCCTGGCTCCCACCCACTGCCATGGCGAGGGACCTCTGCCTCAGCCCCCACCCACTGCAGCTTTGTCTGGAAGGAAGGACGTCTGGATGGTCATCCAATCAAATTAGCATGTCACACTTTTACTATTACAGGCTAGAGGCCTGGTGCACAAACACATGCACCAGTGAGGTCCCTTGGCCTGGCCTGTGGGATCAGGCCAAAACTGGCTCTCTGATACCCCCTGAGGAATCCCGGATTGCTAGAGGGCACAGGCCAGGCCCAGGGACCCCACTGGTGCACAATCGGGGCTAAGGAGGTACATGGGAGGTTGGCCAGCAGGGGAGGGACAGTGAGCAGGCTCCAGAGCATGTCTGGCAGGTCTTGCTCAGTCCCAATTGGCCAGACCCCAGCAGCAAGCTAACCTACTGGTTGACTGTGTGGCCCCTGGTGTCAATGCACATCATAGCAAGCATTGATCAGTCTTAGCATATCATTAACATGTTACACTTTGATTGGTTGAACAGCCAATCAGTCGACCTGACACTTAGCATATTTGGCTTTTATTATATAGGATAGCTAAAACATGGCAGCAACCTGTGTCCATTGGCAGATGAATAGATAAGCAAAATATGGTATATACATTCAGTGGAATATATTCAGCCTTAAAAAGTAATAAAATTCTGCAGTGTAATATAACATGGATTAACCTTGAAGACATTGAGTAAAATGAGCCACTGACAAAAAGATAAATACTGTATGATTCCATTCATATGAGGTTCCCTAGAGAAATCAAAATCGGAGACAGAAAGTAGAATGGTAGTTTTCAGGGACTGGTGGGAAGAGAGAAATTGTTTAATGGGTACATAATTTTAATTTTACAAAATTAAAATATTTATATGGATAGATATTGGTCTGGTTGCAGAACAATGTGAATGTATTTAATACCAGTTAATTGTACTTAAAATCCTTAAGATGGCAAATTTTATGTTCATTTATATTTTATTTAAAAAAAAACAAAAAAACCCACCTTGCCTTGGTCCATGTTGCTCAGTGGTTAGAGTGTTGGCCCATGTACTGAGGGGTCATGGGTTCAAGTCCAGTCAAGGGCACCCACCTGGGTTACAGGTTCCATCCACGGCCCTGGTCAAGTACGTGCAGGAGGCAACCATCGATGTGTCTTTCTTGCATCTACATTTCTTTCTTCCTTCCCCTCCCCAAACCTCTCTCCCTCTTCCTCCCCTCCCCCTCCCCTTCCCTCTTTCCCTCTCCCTCTCACTCTCTCTCTCCTTTCCTTCCACTCTCTCTAAAAATCAATAGAAAAAATACCTCTGATGAGGATTAACAACAACCAAAAAACTCTGAAGCAAACATTTTTCTTAATGGAGACACTTTAAATGCATTCCCCTAAAATTAGGAGCAAGACAAGGGTACCATTGTCAACATCACTATCCAAAATATATTGGAAATCCTGAACACTATATAGAAAGAAAAAGAAATGAGAGCATCTTGGTGAATTCCAGTCTACTATCCCGAACCACCATAGACTGCGTCGTCCAACAGCAGAAACTTACTTCTTGCCGCCTGGAGCCTGGGAGGTGAAGGTCGGAGGGCCAGCGCGGTCGGGCTTTGGAGGGGTCCCTCTTCCTGGGTATGGCCTTCCTCCTGAAAGGCTTTGCCTGGTGTTTGCTCACAGAGCTCTGCTTCTCCTTCCTCTTACAAGGTACCAGTCTCAGCATGAGGGCTCCGCCCTGTGACAGCACCTAAGCCTGATCACCCCCCAAAGACTTCACCTCCAAACGCCATCACATGGGGGTGGGGGGAGGTGTTAGGGCTTCAGCCAAGGAACCTGGGGGATGGGAACAAACACAAATGTTCAGTCCATAGCAGAGAGAGAAAAGGATGTGGAAGGAAGTGATAAAACGGTCCGTTTGCAGGTGCTTCATTATCTCTAGAAAAATCAGCCAAGAATCCATAAACACAGTATTAGAACTAAATTTAAAGAGACAAGAACAATGCATAAAGTCCCTCTCACAGCGAGAAGCAGTGGGCCAAGCTGCATGCACACAGCACACTGGGCCTGAAACACACAGCACAAGTGGATGAGAAGCAGGAGGTCCATAACACAGCCAGTTGTTTTAGTGCTGGGAGCACACGGAGGCAGAAGACAGCAGAGTACTTGTCCATGAGAGGATGGGGACCTCACTGCTGAGAGCACAGGGGATCTCAGGAAAATGCAAAATAAATCCGAGGCCCAAGTTACTGAGGCCACTTGCAGCCCTCACCCCGAATCTCAAAAACGATGCTTCAAAAAAAGTCGAATTATGGAGTCATTTATTAAAAAGCCAGTAGCTGACGAGGGCTTTTTAATAAACGCTCCAGAACTTGCAGCCGAAACAGCTTGCCACACCTGGCTTGTATTGGCAGAAAATCACAAAAGTATCGATTACATCTTTGGGTCTGGAATGAGGAACCTGTTTTGAGAAAAAACATTTTCACAGAAGTGAAACTGAGCAAGTTAGTTATCTACGAATCACTGAATCAACAGAAACGCATTATCTGGGATCACCTGGACAATCTGGAATGATGGTGCTGTCCAGATTCTGGGATCACTGAGTCCACAGGAATGTACTGTCTGTAGCTACTGAGGCCATTTAGGATAATTTGTGCTCTTCTGATTCCAGGACCACTGAGTCAACTGAAACTCAGTTGTTTGTGGATACTGAGACAATTTGGGATAATTGAACTGTCTTGAGTTTCAGAGGAATGTGTTTCGATGACCAGTGAAATCACAATCAATGGGATATTGGAACTGCCATCAAGGGAGTATTCAATCATACATAAGTTCAGAAAATCAAAATAAACTCTTCTATTATTTTAGCAAGCAAATGAATACAGAAGCCAACTAGCAGGTTAAGATTAAAATTACCATACTTCACTGGCGACTATCTATCCCTTCAAAAATCGAAACCTGCTTCTCCCTAAGTTCCTTCTCCTCCAAGCCTTGAGAGTGTGGGCAAGTGACTCTGGTCTCTGGGCCTCCACGTTCTCATCTGTAAAGTGGGGATGATGACAGTGACAACTTCCCGGGGATAGGGATGGATTGACTATGGTACTGCAGAGGCTCACGCTCAGTGATCACGGATGAAAAGAAGTGCTTATCAACAAAGCGACTAAAGAGCCCCTCACCCAACACCACCCTGCACCCAGCAAGGCCCACCTGCTGG